GATAAACATGCCCACAATGAGAAGAACATCGATAAGAACCAAAGCTAGCAAGGGGATATAATATCGTTGGTACTTGGAACCCTCTGGACAGCTGCTGCCGACATTGCAAGGTGTAGGCGAAGAAGAACCAGGCTGACAATACGAGCCTGCAGGGCACCGGATCTTTTTCTGACCTTTGTCTTCGATAGGGCAATAGTAGCCTTGCTGGCAAACAACAGGCTCGAAAACACCCATGGCTATATTTGAGCCGTTGAAAGAACAAGTCATGCCTGAAAGACGTGCGATAGTGCATTCTCTAAGAGGAGGGCAAGATTGGGGGAGTGAGTTGATGGTGTTGTTTTGGCCTATGTTTGGTCAGCGTATGATGTGGATTTGGTAAGAGAACCTACACAGAAATCCTTCTTTGCACCCTTCGTTCTGCCAAGAAGACACATTCTGCAATTGGAGGGGGAGAGCACCGGGTCTCCAACAAGGTGCCGCATCATAAGGAAGTTGGTCGTTCAGTTGCTGGTGGGTGGCTCTATAGAAGCTGGTGGAAAAGCTTGACCTGTTGGTGCCGGTACAGTCTCGATCGTAAACTGTGAGTGTGTTCTTGTCCTTCAAAGGCTCGAGAGATCGACTTTTGGAGTCCCAAACAAGATCCTTTCCAACTGGCGGGTTCGAGTCATCCTCCATGGGCAATTTGAGCGATCCTTTGGCATTCTTCGCTTTGTACCATTTCCCGCTTGTTACGTTGTAGACGCCCTGGGTTTGGTTTCCGATACATTGCCATGCTGCCTGGCCATTGTCGAAAACTGCATTGGCTTCGGCGAGCTTGTCCTGTCCTGGTAGCGCGCGGAGACTGCAGAGGCACGCAGTTGTGTCGAGGAAAGTTGGTCCTCTGGGAGCTTCACTTGCAAGGAAAGGCTGCTGCGGTACCTTTGCATCGTCAACTCCATATCTTGAAAGAGACATTGTGTCGTTGTGGAGAGGATACGAAGAACTACTCTCTCACAGTCTTTGTACAAGTCTCGTGTAATGAACAAATAATACAACAGCTCTCATCTTGGGCCTGCAGAGCGCGGGCTTACATCTTTATAAGCAAAAGCACTTGACACAATGCTATTTCTCTTGGGCGGGAATCTTGCTTGAGATCCTATGAAGGAGATTCCGATGTCAAGACTCCGACTAGGGATCTGCCATAAAAAGTGCAAGGATAAGAATCCTACTATGGATCTAAGGGCAGTGTTTGACTGCTCGTGAGATTTTAGTCTCCGAAAGAATCCCCCAGGGTCTCATCATATACAATTATTAGAGGCGGAGCTCGTTGAGCTTGAGCTATGTGTATCATACCATTGCTGATCTATTGGCATTGGGTCATGATATTGATATGTACAAGGCATTGTTAGTGTTGCCGCGCTACTACTAAATGTCCAAATTCGTATATTACGCCCCTGATATGGCAGAGTCTAGAGATGCAGTCAGCGTTCCGTTGTTCCTTTTTATGATGGATGTAGTTGTGTAACCAACTACAAACCCTCAAGAACAGGATCAAAGAAATGTTTGGCCCTGTTTACATCAGAGGCTGTTCCTGCGGGTCGGACCAGCGCCGAGTAAGACCAGATAGAGCTTAGATTGAGGCGCATTTGGCTCAGCTTTTTGGTGGAGAGCTAAAGCTTAGCGAGAACGAGAGAGAAAAAACTGTATACAACATACAACATAGATAGGGCTGATTGTCTTGTCAAATTACTAGGCGAGAGGGTCCTCTCGCATTCTTGACTATTGTGATTGGGTTGTTTCAGGGAGATTTGACTTGGAATGGACTTATTTTGCGCTGCAACGTCACAGCCTCTTCTCATCATCCTGATTGTTCCTGTCAGCAATGCCCTTGCTGGCTCGTCCGTCAATTTATCATCCACATGTTATTTTAAAGACTCCATTAAACCAATAATGGGTATCCTGGACAAACCCTCTTTTTTCTTGGGTGGTCTCGCGTTTGGCTGCCATTGCTTCAGTCCATCTTGTCGGCCACTTCGCGCCTGTCGGTGCCGAAAAGCGAAGCATGTTGATTCCCATGTCGTCATATCAGCATTTGTATGAATTCGGAAAGCGAATTTAGAATAAGAAAACCATACCGTGTCCTACAGAGTCGCAGTTTGTCAGTCTGCGCCTCTGTTGTGAGTCGTGAGAGTAAGCTGCAGATCGCTGTTGATATATACCAATAGCAGCCCTCCATCACAGTCTGATCAGCATCGCATATGCCTTGGGAATGACCGGGTGTTGAACCGGAAACGATTTTAAAATACGATGCGTTGTATGACCTGATAAATGCATGGTTTGGAACAGTCAGACGAGTTATACCCAGGTCCATAGCTCTGCTTATGTTCTAGTTCAAGGCTGAGGCTGTAACCATCAGTGAGACTGGCATTCCTAGCTCAAGTCGAACATATCGCATAACAGTTTCCCGCGTAATAGCTAATATATCTCGATACTTGGATAATTGGAGAAATAGCTGGTAATATTGCACTTTTGTATGTGGTCGGTTGCTCATTTATATTTATTTGAAGATAGAGGCTTATGCTAGACAATAGCGGCACTATATTGTATTCTAATGTACTTGTTCTGTGTATCTTGACTAGCAGACCGGAAAGGAATAGCCACCACTGTGGGTAAGAATAACTTGACGTCTTTAAATATTTATTATACTCATCAGTGTGAAGCCATGATAAATTGCAGTTTTACAGCAGTAAATGAAGCAATTCCTGCACGTATAATGCCTTGACTGGACAAGTCTCTTTCTTTATGAGATACGGTTGAAACGTTGAAGTTGTTCCTTTTCCCACCACGTGCATCTCTTTGGCATTATCATAAGAGAACCGACCCATTGACAAACAGACAACCAATGTTATTTGAAATGACATTGCATTAAACAAGATACTAAAGAAATAACCTGATTTCTTCCTGAGCCGCCTACCCTAAACCAAGTACCTTGACAGCAGCTCTTATCTCAAGATCATGATTGGATACACCTTGCATCGTGGTGAGTTGTCCGGCAGTGGGATCCAATACCATGTGATCTCAATTAATCGTGTTTCCTCCTCACGTATGTAGCTTAGCCATAACTTTAGTCCTTACTTAAATCGGCTGTGGCTGGCCTAGTGGTGAACGAGGGGTTGTGTTGATTATCAATCCTGATTTGTCTTTCACCTCAACAATTCACACGATATCCAATTGACAAGACAAAGCAATGAAGGTTACTCAAGTAAGTTCAATTGATTCTCAAATTTCATTCAAGAATAATCTGGAACCTTTGCTAATACAGTTAATGGCAGCTTTGGTATTATCCCATCAAGGGCATCCAAGGCATCCAAGTCCAGTCAGCCAGATTAGGACCACAAGGTCTTCAACATGATCGTCGATTCATGCTCTGCAAGATCGAAAAGTCAGGCGAACTTGCCAAACTACAGCTGTCCGGACATCCGGAATGCAGTCTTTTTAAACCAGAAGTTATTGGTGATAAGATCCGGGTCAAGTACTTGACTCCGAAAGAGCCTTTGTTACCGTGGAAACCAGAACAAGACACTGTTCTTGAAATACCGATTGAGCCAAAACTCAAAGATCTGGATAGAGCCGACATCAATCTCTATCAAAGCCATGTCATCGCATACCGCATGGGATCCGACTATGACGCCTGGTTCACTGCTTGCTTTGGTTTCGATACGGCCCTCATTTACATTGGTGATGGTCGACGCCCTGTACTAGGTACATTCTCACCCAAGTCACAATACGCACCTCCGTCATGGACCTCATTACTTGTCAGCCACCTTTCTGGGAAGAACATATATTCCGCTGAAGAAGACTGGATTACATTTTCTGACTGTGCACCGTATCTTGTTGTTACTGAGGAGTCTCTCAACAACGTCAGAGCCCGGCTGTCAACATCCGACGTGGACGTGACAGCCATGCGACCCAATATTGTCTTGGATGGCGAGGTCGCTTGGGATGAGGACTTTTGGGCGAGGCTGGTTATCGGTGGTGCTCACGTTGTTGCTCTCACTAAGAATTGTAACCGGTGCACTTCGCTCAACGTTGATTACGAAACTGGCCGTACCGCCGAGGGCGAGCGTGGCACGGTACTCAAAAAGCTCATGTCTGACCGAAGGGTTGACACTGGAATGAAATACTCTCCAGTTTTCGGCAGATATGGGTTTCTTACCAGCAAGTCTGACGACAATACCAGTGTGTCTATTGGTGACAATGTAGAGGTGACGGCGCGACAAACCGAGCGCGCCGTCTGGGACTGGACCACGCGCGATTCCAACTTTGCCAGATACTATCAAAAGTCCTCTGACGCAAACGCAAACTTGTCTATAGTCCTTTCGTTTTGGCTAATGGCTGCGGCTGTACTGGGATTGCTACCCTGCTGGCTTTTCCTCTCTTGAACCGAACTCTTTTCCTGCAACCAATGTGCCAATCAGTGACAACCGCACATCTTCATAACAAACGGATGGCTTCGAATGCCAGCACTGTGAACCTGGATTATATCGTAGAGACAAGGCAATGCATTCGACACATTTAGCCATAAAGAGCCCTGTATCCGCAATATCTCGGAGCGGGAGGCCGGAGGGGTGGTCGCTTTACCTACGACGCCGAGACGGAGCGGCTCCTCTTCGGTCTTTGCAATGTCCGCAAAGGGCCGGAGAACAAGCGGGAGACGAGCAGTCAGTCACACGCAGCCTGTCCGAGCATCTGGAAACGTTCCATCGCGCCGTGTCTAAGATTTGCCGAAGTATGACAATCATGTTACGCAAATGGGTTATACAAGCGCCCTAGTACAATCTGTAGTAGATGGGGCCTGGCACTTGGATCATTGAGTGACATTGAGTCCAAGAGGCCACCAACAAACGTGTGATTCTTTGATCGAGGCACGAGGGATCAAGAGAGTTTGACCAAAGCACACACCAAACAATCAATGTCCAATGATATGACGCAACTGGCAAATCGTCGACGAAAGTCATAATATGCTCGGACAATTCAAAAGCCTCAGAGCTCCGGGTACGTTCCCCGATGGGACCGTGTCGGCCGGCCGGGCGGGAGATCAGACCCGGCAGGCAAGGAGGGCGTATCGTTCCCTCGTGATGATTGTTAAGGTTGTTGGCATGACTCAGGATAGCTTGTTTCTACCGAGCCATTGGCTGAGGAATGGAGTTTATGATGGCGGCGTCTGGAACACAACGAGCCATCGAAACACCTGCGAGGCTAGTATGTAACCATGTTAGGCATTGGCGCGTCAGTAATTTGAAACCACTGGTCCGCGCGTTGTTGTCGATTTTGTACTGTATGGGCAGGGCGAATGGGCTTGTGAGTGCTCCGTGTGCAGAGTGGGAACAATTTGAGACAACTTCCAACTAAATTGTTCTGGAAGGCTTCTGGGCGAACTTTCGTTTTTTGCGGGCCGGCGCTACTAGCATGTCGATCAGGCCAGGGCGCTGAAGTCGAGAATAGAAGCGCCTCATTATGACTGTTCAATCTCGGTGTCTCCTTGGGGTAGTGCAGAGTAGTCGTCGCTGCGCCATTGCACAGACACAACACAGCAGAGGCTACAACACTCCACGTCGTGCTCGTCACAGCCGCGGGTTTCCTAGTTGAGGATGACACGCTTCTTCCACGTCAGCAGCAAGATACCGAGTTGGCCATTCGATGAGCCTGTTGGATGAGCAAGGTAGACGATGGTCCCTTGTTGCGCACAGGTTGTGGAAATCAACCGAGCGCGAGGTGCTAAGAGAGGAGGGAAAGTGTAATGCAAAGTTACAGTATCCGTAAATGGTGATGCATTGTAGGTGTAAGATCCAAGGCAGGGTCTTGATACGAGCTCGAGGCGAACGATGGTAGAAGAACAGACAGCCAATACGTGGGAAATGCCGGACTTCCATCGATATGCGAGGAGATTACAGGATGTTGGTTCTTTCCTTCTCATCCACCTCAGTCGTTGGAGTTGGGCATGGAATGCACCACTAGCCGGCAGCTACCTCGTAAACCCAGGTACGGTACGTACATGCAGTGCCCAATCAAGCCTCATATGAACAAGATCCAATGTTAGCCGCAAGAACAAGGTAAGGTGAAAATATTGGGGAAGGTGCTAATGGAATTCAATAACTACCTTGTTCATGATTCAGTTGATATCCACTACGCCAAAGGTGATAGCGACTATCATCAACATCACAAAAGAAATGAGAAATGAGCCGAGATAGAACATTTTCCATTAAACTAAATCAATCAAATGCTGGCTTTCCCTTAATCGCCTGACGATATCCCCTGATTCGCCTTGTATCTTTTTTTGGCTTGAGCCATAGTCTATTTCGAGCGCCAACCCCGAACACCAACCAGCCCAGCATCGTTTAATTCATAGTGTGTATCGCCCTGCGCCATGAGCCAAATGGAAACTTTTGTTGGCTCCAATAAGATGAGATCATAAAGACATTTCTCTTTGTTCCCTTCGTAATCCACTTAGCAGTCAAGTTGCCATGACATGCTAAGACAGACCAATCCTGGGGTACAACAGCCGAAACGAGAAAAAGAAAAGGGGAAGAAGCCAGCAAACACCGTGTTGTATGCAGAACCAAAAAAAAAAAAGAAAAGAAAAACACCGAACAAGTATTGACAAGAAGAAAACGTCAAAGAGAAAAGAGAAAACGCTCATAGAGATCAGTCAGGATCATCTGTAACAGATCAGATCTCCCGAAAAGGAAATTCGGAGCCGCGTCGTAGATTGGAGGATGCTCCCCCAGAACTGACACGTCTGAAGAGTCCATTCTTGTGTGTTGATAGACAGACTTGACTTGACTTCATTTGGGTAATGTAGGGCCAAGCGAGACCAGCGTTGGTGAGATGGGGATTTAACAGGGGGGAGGGGTGCTAGTGCTGCACACTTCCAAAAACGTGCCTGGTGGCCCTTGAATGGAATCTCCCACGTGGAACGTGCAGGGCGCTATTCCGTCATGGAAACCAGTGCAAAAAAAATCAAAAAGTCGACCCAAAAACCACCGTTTGGCCGAATCCCCATTCCCCACCTCGGGCTGACATGAATCAAGATAGGCGTATGTATCATGTCTGTCCATGGGTAGCATAGCGTGGACAGTCTTCTCGTCTTCAGGTGCCGGCCTATCGATCGGTCGAGTCCTCTGCGTGTGATGTGTTGTCCTTTTGAGGCTCAGCCCAGCTGTGCCAGACCCAAAAACTCAAGCCAGTGAGTATAATTCCAAGTGACGTTTCATGCGTGGTACTTTGATGATGGGCAATGATGTTGAGTGATGGATGGATGGGTGCACACAAGGGGTGTGTGACGGTTCAGTAGCCGTGCATCCAGAGCCAGCTCCGGGCTACCGTTCCGCAGAACGCCAAGCGCAATCAAATGTACTGAGACCATCTTTGATCTCAATTGATGTGCGCCTGCACCGAGACCAAAAAAAAGTAGCCATCCATTTTCCGTTTGTGTTGAGGCTCGTGTCATGTTAGTCAGGACATGGCCACCAACTGCTATGAACAAGCAGCGACACACCGATTCGACTTCGTATGTGGATGACAAACAGTCTCGGTGTACAAGTCTTTAAGCAGACTGCGTACAAGGCCGGCATAGATGCAGCTTGCAATAAGTGCACTCCCAGATCATCCAGTGAGGACCAGAGCGACAGTGCTGGCATATCCACTGGACAAGAGTGTTGTCCGACTTGATCATTCGGAATTGGTGGGCGCAAGCGTTAGCCATTTTGTCGGGAATTGTGACTTTTGCGTGGGTGGTACAGTAGGTGTAGATGCCGTTGACAGTGCTGTATCTTGATTGTTGAACCCTCTCACAAAGATTTGGCCTGATTGGGTGCGGGTATGTTCCTGGAGAGCACTGTATTAGCCTTGCATACATGCATGAGACAACCCAAAATGGCTGTAAGCAACTAGGTGGGATGCGGCGTGAAAGGAACCTCATGCCCGCCTTTTCTAGAACTTACACGATAGTTGTAGTATGGAGCGTCAAGGCAATCAAGGCGGACGTTGTCAGATGTTGTTGCTGCGATGCAACAGTAGAGTAGTTGTAGGGTGTAGTGGATGATAGCCGTGAAAGAGCAAGTAATGGTTAGGTGAGTAGTTGTGAAAGACGTTGTTGTGTGTTCAAGAGATAACAAGAGGAGGTCCAGAGGTCTTTATACTTTGCGGGAAGGGGAGAGTATGAGGAGAGATGTCAATGTCCTTTTGTCGGTGTCTGTGCCAGTTGCATTTGTCGTTGCAGTTGCAAGGCCAGGCAAGGCGAGGCAAGGTAGAGAGCAGAAAAGCAGAGTTCTGGGTATCTGATATGACGATGGCGTTTGCAGGCCTGTCAAACAGAAAGCCGGGATGAGGCTTGCAGTAACGGGCCCAGGAGATAAACGACGGAAGAGGCACAAGCGAGCAACGAGGGAGGCGGAAATGCCGGCCAGACAAGGTAGTGCCAACACCCAATGGAGTAGATTAAACGGACGATAGACGGGAGACAAAGCGAGCGACCGAGCGAGAGAGGTTGAGTTTGGTAGGTACTGAAGAGACGACGACGATGCAAGACAGGACAGGGTAGGGTAAGATAAAGTACGGCACTGTAGCTTCAATGTTACAACACTACTAGGTTCCCGGGGGACAGTGGTGATATAGTACCCGCCAACGAGAAGGAGCCCCAGATGGATGGATAAGTCGTGTGTGGATGGATGGATGGACGGACGGACGAAGTTGATGCCCGTGCCCTTTCTTCCCTTCCTTTCCTACCTATATTCCTCTTTGGTCTTTGGTTGAATGACATGCCCCATGCCAGGGCAGTTGCCATTTGTGATATTTGCCGTCTCCCAAGAAATGTTGCACCGTACCTGTCTGGGTGTACCGTACCAGTAGGTAGGTCTATCGGTCCAAATCCCAGATGTGTCGTGTTCCCTTTACTATTGATTGACCCCCGTACAATTGGAGTTTTGCAGAAGAAGCCCTGTCCCTGACGTTTCTGGAAGACTGAGAAGAATAAAGAGGGGGAGGAAAGAGAGAGGAACCCGCCTACCTAACCTAACACAGGAGGGGGGTGTAATTCTGACAAGGTATGGGATTCTGAAGAAAAGCCAGCAAGATCATAGGAAGAATAGAGGAGACAGTAAAGCAGAGTGGAAAAGACCAGGCCAGACCAGGTAAATCAGGTACGATCCCGTACCGGAAACTGAGGTAAAGTAAGTGGATGTAAGGATCCTATGACATGGGAAGCTTGTATCCACTGATGCAGGTACCTCGCCTTGTTTGATCGCGCTAGACCGATTCAATTACAGTGAATGCGCTGCACTATACTGTGCTGAGCTGAGCTGTGCTGCAGAGGGTTGATTGGGAAGGAGCCGATGGGGACAAATTCAAACGGTAGAAGGAAGGGAAGGAACAAATGACTTTTGAGAAAACGGCTGGCACGGAAAGGAGGATATGTCAATTGAGGGGATGCCGATTTAATGAGGAAAGAAAGCCAAGAGGAGATAAGGCAGGTCATAGAAATGCAGCTACCTTACCTTAGCTGTCTATAGGCACCTACTAAGGTACCTATGAATATGTGCGATACAGTAGATGCAGTAAGGTGTGGTTGACAAGGCTAAAGTTAAATGTTAGAGACACCTGCGACGCTGTAGAGACAGCGTCAAATGCTCCAAAAAAGCCACAAACATGCCATCATGACAGAGCAGACCCCCGTCCAGTGTCCAGGTTCTCGGGGCAGCCAGCCCAACTTAGTACTGATGTAGTTGTGCCAGGATTATGGGAATGGTGGAGACTAAGACACCTCCATTCAGGGTAGGTTCAGGGGGGGTGTCAACTGTAACGGCCTAGCATCATAATGAGACTGAGACCACATGAGAAGAAAGCTTGTGAAGGCGTGGTGTGTGTCTGCTTTGTGTGTGCTGCATCATGAAAAATGCCCGTACGGAATCAATACCGAGAATGCGGCAGATAAACCTAAAACCTTGGTCTGGTCTGGTAGACTCTGATCAATTAGTGCGCTTCCAGAACATACCGGCCGTGCCGAGGCAGAGCAGAACAGAGCAGGCAATCTCTAACCAGTAGTCATTACGATTCAGCATGACTTCTTTCTTCAGTAACCGTGAACCTGTACGGATAAATGAGGAAAAATCATCATCATCACGTTGGCTGCCCTATCCTATTCACCCGCTCACCCCTGGATGTGATGTAAGAGAGCGGACCCCTCTCGTCCAATGTCGAGATAGGATATTTACCGAAGGGGCAATGATCCTAGTGCTAGACATTATAGCGACGCAATTGGATGGGACTTTGATGTTCTAGCCTTCGGAGAACCTCAAATGAAGTAGAGATGTTCAACTTTACGGATAACATGACCCATCATACATAGCTAATAAACGGGAACAGAGGTCCAGATTGAGGCTTTCGGGAATTTAGCCCGCCATTTAAAACGTAGCCCCTCATCTCTATGGAAAGACACATCCATGGTTGTCGGACTAGGTTTCGTTTGCTCTCCTTCTTTGTCGTGCTTCCAGATACATTTCGCGTATCACCAACGGCTTAGTACGTTTACACATCACTAGAATAGACACCGCCTCCAGGGAGATCTGATAAATGTGCCAGCTTTGTGAGGCTGAATCTAACTCTCAAACATCACTTCAACGGCCTGATCAACCTGTGACAGAGTCTAGAAGCACACGGCCTCTGGAGTCCTCATGCACTTGCATCTTTCGTAGACTAGAATCACAGAAAGCTTCCAAAGGCACAGATGTAGTCGGAAAGGCCCGAATCGCTCAGCTAGTATTGGCCGTGCTAAGGAGATCACCATCAAGCGGCATAACCCCAGATAGATGCACAGAAAAGGGCTTGGGCTTGGCAGGGGACAGTGATGAAGAAATATCCGCCCTCCATGTCGTGAAGTCAGTACGGATAGTCGGCCGTTATTTGTTGGTGGTGTTGGTTTCTACCTAGTTCAAACAACAAGGCAAAACACTTTGTAAAAGTCTATTCATCAAGCCAATGCCATTGATCGCCTTGCCATGGTTCGTTCATTGACCAAATCGGCTCTCTCCCGCAGTGAATATGAGGCGGTAAGACACATAGCCCTGCCCTTGCTCCAAAGTCTGTTCGTTTTCTGTGGTTACAAAAATGTTGGTGTTTTCCCTGCAAGTTCGACGCTCAGACGCCATATGTTTATTAGTTGGTCCAAACTCGCTTCTGAAACACTTTCTTTTAGTGTGCTGGACATTTTTAGCTGCAGGACTGTAAACACTTTATATAAAGTAGTGACCAATGAGGTTACAAGAATCAACAGCTTGTTGGTTATGTCTCAGTGCATAGTTAAACGGTAGCCGTTGTTTGACATGTCAAAAGTTTGCTTGGCTGTATGCTGTTGAGGCTTTGAATATAGTCCAGAACGGTAAAGCTGCCGTCTACCAAGTCTTGCCATTTCCATATGCGTTCGGCAAACTCCCTTCTCCGTCTCTACACTGCCTTTTTCGTTCTGTTGCATAATTAGCTTCCGCTTTGTTATGTCTACTGATTGCTCGTTTCTCGGATATACAAACCACGTTAAGAGGGGTTAATTTTGACCGCAGTATCGAGATGAGAGGCGTGGCCAGTTATCCTTGCAACTCGTGGACCCCATACCGATACCTGGATTCATGACGATGTTGAGCCTCACCGACCGCCTCGGCTCATATGTAGGTCGGCAAACTCATCCCGCTCTATGACACTATTAACCGCGTGTAGAGTAATCATTTCTCTTTCCTTTCCGCGTGTTTGTGGAGCTAATCTAACAGCAGTCAAAGTCACAGTCAACATTGTTGATACTCTTCCCGCCATGCTCGTTTCCTTTGATACTGATCATTCGGCTATTTTCTCTCGTCAAAGTTACATCTAAGCAGGCATAACAAAGTCGGGCAAGATATTATTATTAAAGTCTCTTGTGTGTGGTCTGATGAGTGCTGACCCTTTTCAGCGAGATGCGCCGAGGCAAGAAGAATAGATGCTGTCTCGACCGGCCACTTTCCTTTTTCGATCTGCTACTGGTGACCCCATCCCCTCCACTTTCCCCCGTTTACAACCGTCCGTCCGCTTACACGGATTGAAACCCGAACCTTCAATTCGTTAGGAAGTAACCACAGCACCTTCCTTAGCTTAACTACTAACGTACACAAGTTAACGTTAGCTTTACTGGACCTTCCCTCTCTGACTATGTTCGCTTCTCACCCTGTCGTGGAATCTCGTCTCGCACCCCTTTCATCTAAAAATTCTCCTTAGCATTACCATCATCGTCTTATTCAGAGATTACAAACAGAACTGGCCGGCAAGCCTTTTACACCAACTGCCTGCAAACAGATGCATACCGTCTCACATCCTGGTTATCAAAGGTACAGGGCCTGTTCTCGCTTCATTGTATATGACAACATGACAAACCTTGTCTCTTCGCTTCCAGAGAATCCTCCATTGATCGCCACGAGATTCGCCTGAATACCATCTCTAATCACCCGGTTCAAACCTTTACCCTTGTTTCTTGGGTTTGGGGGACCTTCTTACTACTTTGCTCAAAACTGCTGACTTGAGAGCCATGCGACCCTCCCTGATGGGCTACAGCTTACACGGCGCAGTCAAGACAGTTTCCTCTACTCCTCTCAAGAGATCAAACCCATGATCCGCAGTCTCCATCCAAATCCAAGTTACCCGTCGCCGGCTTAATCTGGCAGACCCGGCATTTCAACCGCCCCCCATCCTCACAAGGATATGTCGACAAACCCCAGAGCGTCGTTAAATCGTTGCTTGCTGCAAGGCTTCATGCAGCCTGCCACCCTTTTCTAAACAGCCACTCGCCCAGCACCCCGGCTGTCACAAGCCAAGATCCGCGACCGTTGAATGTCATGATCGAGTTACATGGGCTTTTATTAACAGGCGCCTATGCCCCAATTGCACACCTCATTTCTGAAACCGAAACTAGGCATGCACATTTGCAGAGCTAAGGATGCTATACTGCGTTGGCTCTTAAAGTTTGCCCCATTCTACCACTTCAACCTTGGGCTAAAAAGGGACTGCACAACCACTTCGCCTCTGTTTCAACCCCTAGCTAGTTGCAAAGAACAGCAAGATGCGATTCGATTGACGGCTCTCGATTATGCTGGTTCCGAATACCACGCAAAGTACACGCGTTCCCCCACTTGTTGCAAGTGCAATCGGAGCTTCGTGCATGTCAAAATCTTACTTACATGGTTCTTCGTCTGGTCTTGAGTGCTTGCCACCTAGTGCACCATCTGCCGGGGATATCGGCATCACATTTCCCATCTGCATGTGTCTCTTTTGTCTCTCATCTTTCGGCGGAGTGCTTCCCGTATCAGGCTTCAAGCCCGCTGTCTTGAACCGTTTGTGGTCAAGTGACGTCGTCTACAACAAGTGATGAGGCCCCATAGCTGTTTTTGCATGTTTGCCAATGAAGTCCGGGCCTGGGATTCTTCAATTGCCTCACTTAAACTCTATCCATGAATCCCTGTCTCGCGTTTGCTCATACGTTGTGTAGACTTCTGATGCTTATATCTACCAATCACAGATAAGATTGGTATCTGAAGCTAACTATCAAACATGGAACCTCTGTCGCAAGCCTCACATTGCTAAATATTCTTGACGCTCTTGGTCTGAATTCAGCCAAGAATTTCAGGGCTTGTGTATCATGCGAGACGAGATATTCCAGTAGGTCTAAGAGAATTTACCATAAGAGCCCACAAATTCCAGAACACATGTCGAACTGGTCCCTAGTATAATCAAAGGACCGTGGTCCTTGTCGTGCGGAGCCTCCACAATTCGATCGTCATCAACATCCCATGCAACAGTTTTTTTCATGCGAGGCTGGAAGTTAACGACACCACCATACGGACATGCGCACAGCATTGCCCGTATCACTTGTTCGTATTCCCCTGAAAGAAGCGAGTTGCTGTCTACCCACAGCTCCGGAGCAAGTTTCAGGACATGGAATCGAAATTCTCAAGGTGACAATTGCGACCCAGATTCCTGGTTCGTAGGGTTCGAGGCTTGAGCCTTTTTTGCGTACCGAGTCCATACCCTTGGTTCCTCATTCAGGGGGGTTCTACTTGTGGATTGATGCCGAGCTCGGAGAAAAAAACTTCCCGATGAAAGGTTTTAAAGGTTGACTAGCACAATCTCATTATTGAAAACATTGCTCCATGTGAAAAGCTCATTAACCCGATGGAGCGTCTGCAATGTAACGACACATAAGTTTACGTGAGAGTATGGGACTATCTTCACATGTCAAGTCATATTTCAATGATACGAGCCCATAAGTGGGTTGCTTTTATTAGCCTGGATATTGATATCAACGTCTATCTGTAGTTTTTAGAAAAGAGTGACAGTAAACTTATGAGTTCTCATCAACTCGTCACAATACTGACAAGGGTAGCACACACACCATCATATGATTACTCAGTGTGAAGCAAGCCTTCAATGTAAAGACTTGGTATCACGGCGCATGTTCTGTCAAATAAGACAAATGCCCTCCGCTCTTCTTCTCGGGCTTACTTCCTGGACCTAGGAGATCATTACTTCACCGGCACCAGTTGCAAGATCCTCTGAGCCCTCTTGTCCGGGGGACTTGGGCTGGTCGGTTAAGCCTCTCGACGGCGCAGCCTTCATCTCTAACGCATCGCTGTCGCTCCCTTGCCGCTCGAGGTCCTCAAATGTGAAGGCATCGGACAAGTTGACTGCGAGGAACGTTTTTGGTAGTTTGACCCTGCAAGAATGTATTAGTGAAAATTCATGTGACGAGAAATCGTGGGGGCCTTACTGGTTGAATTTGGCTCGAAGTGTCTTGATAACCTGCAACCAATCTGCATGTGGCGTCAGACTACGCCGGGGGGCACATCCGATGCAGTGTCGACTGTCGAGTTGAACATGCAAGGGATCAAAGACGTGGCATCCAGGGCTGATGGTAATACGAATACTGTATGTAAACGTGGGGGGGTTATGGGGCGACGAACCATCGCCCGCCGTTTTCATCTCAGCTTCGTAAAGCTCAAAGCATATCTGAGAAAGATAGTCGAGCTCGGGAATAGTGCTGCGCTTAATCTTGGTCTCAACACCTCCCTCGATGATGCAGTTCAGTAATGTGTAGATGTGTGACTCCTTGGTAAAGTAGAAGAAGGACTTGGCGTCGTCTGAAGCCTGCATCTCCTCCAGGTCCTGCACAATCTCCTTGAGGAGAGGCAAAGATGTGAGTAAGCCAATCTCGAGTTTCTCGCTATCCGAGATACCATATTCCTGAGGACAAATAAAGTCGAACAAGACCTTGGCAAGGCGGTAAAGCTCTTGTAAGGGCTCGTTTTGGGCGTCTGTCTGGGACGAAGTCTGCTTCGTTCCCTTGTAAAGGCGGAAGTATTGCTCTGGTGGTGCCTCCTCGTTGAAGTGTCGTAGATTGTTAAGGAACGATCGTCTTCTAAACAACTTCTTGACCGAGGCCGATCGGCTCCCAGCATCCACCTTGTCTGAGCCTTCAGGCGAGTTTTGATGACTCTTGTCAGTTTTCTCATCGATGGACTTGCCATCTTCAGACTCTTTTGGCTTGCCTTCTTTGGTGCCGGTAGCTGTGTACTCATCCAACATGTGGTTAGGTGGCGTGTATACCCACTCCAGGAACTGGCGGTTGTGCAACGCATCAAATTTCATGGTGTCGTAAAGTTCCGATATTTTGCTTGGGTCAACCTTATCACCATCGCAGAATTCCTGGAACAATTTCTCCCATCGCTCTCGGAACAGCTCAGCGTCTTCGCCACAGCACCATCGTGACTGGATTTGATTGATGGTGTTTGCCTGTGACATTGATGATGCGATGGATGAGCTCGAATTATCGCCGGACAACTTTTCAGTACTGGGATTCGAGATAGCATTTAGCGACGTGACGGCACCGCTGCATAGCTTCTTGTAGTTGTGATCCATTACACGCCGATGGAATTTCATCAGCTGCACAACTCTCGTCTGTACCTCTGAAGGTTCAGGCATGTTTTCCGGCCAGGTGAATTGCGCGGGACGCTCGTTGCCCTTGCGGAGAAGACCCTTGAGCTTCTTCTTCACCTTATCCATTTCATCTTTGGCAGCATTGGAGTCGTCCAACAGATCTTTGCGAATTGTGATAAAGTCTTCTGCAATATCTTTCTTGCCCAGGAATGAAGCGGCCCAGATCTGGGCACTGGTTGTTACACGCCTCTCAGAACTGCTAAAAACATGAACCTCATCCAAAATGTCCCTATTCAGGAGCATGAGATCGTTGCGCATGTTTTCGCCGAGTTCTTGAGCCTGATATCGGGCCGAGTGTGTTGGTTCGCCTCCCCATTTGACGATGAGCTGCAGTTTGTCGAGAACTAACCTCTCCTCGGCAGCCGTGAACTTGGACATTGTGACACCAGAAAGAGAATCTTGTCGTCTTGGTGCTCCAGGGGGCTTATCCTCTTTTGATGAGTCACCTCCCTCATCAGATTTGCCATTCTCCTTCTCCGTAATGGCGACAAGTTCCTCGCTAATGGCGGACGGTTCTGTCTTCTTCTTCCTGAACATTGGCTTGATCTGGATTTTAGTACCTGGCCAGCTTCCCTTCTTGACCAGGACATTGCGGAGAGATCTAAGCTTAGCACGATCCTCAATTCCCTGCTCATAGGCCAAGTCGACTGCCTGGATGACACTGCCAAGGGCTGCTTCTCCAATCAACAACACTTCTTCCTGGTGGCCCTTCAGAAGTGCGATAAAGGGTTCTGAGTGGAAAGTGAACTTGTACTTCTGCTTAGGTGTGCGATCTGCATGTCTAATCACTGAAACCATGCCCTTCAACTTCCAGGAGTGGGTCGGTAGAGGAGGCTCAGACACAGCAGGTATGTCTTCTGCTGGGGGGTCCGCGATAGCGCTCTGCGGTGCTGCGGGGGCGGACAAAATGCCTGGCAAGTTCACATCGGTAGGGGTAGTTGGGATCACTGGTGTTGCCGAAGAACTCTGTGCTTTCGAAGGTAGTCCGGTTTCTGTGGGCATCAAAGGAGTGACCGTGCCGCTTGTTGCACGGCGCGATGTATCGTCGGGTTGCGAATCCGTGGTCGGGATTGATGCTATGCTTGTCCTGACGCCATTAGTTCCAGTTTGACTTTGCTGCTCTCGGTCTTTGAACGCATTGGATGCTCGAGTGAACGGGTCGGTTCCCGATTCTGATGGCGCAGGCGAGGGCATAGGGGGGGTGACACCACCACGTCGTAATTTCTCCTTGATGAAAAGATCCTTAAGGATACTGGAACAATGGTCGTAGTAGTCATCGTTGTCTTTCACGAAACTCCAGCCATTGACATCAATGACATAACTCTTTCCTGACGCTCGCAGCATGTCGAAACCACAGACTCTCTGTCCGAATGCCGTAGAAATCTTGCTGGCCATTTCCTTCTCTTCGGTACAAAGAGCTGTGACATATCGCAACTCTTTGCCATGAGTGTTTCTTCGCACCACGCCGTCTACGACCGGACTCTTTCGAGTCTCTGCGTGACAATAGCTCGGACCAACAGTGTAGGCCTTGACATCTTCAGCATTGTCAACTTGCATAAAGCTTTCGTAGATGTAGCTGCTGTCAGGCTCCGTAATAGCTCTAGGCACGTTGAGTTCTTGGATGTAGTCAGAACTTTTGTTTCCAATCTTTCGGAAGAGCTTTCGAGCACCACCACCATCCTCGCTGGGGAAGTAAATGATGATATTGTGGTCTTCTCCGCTGGTTGGTTTCTCGACAAAAGGCTTTCTCAACGTTTGGCCATCGACACTGATTGTGTTGCCATCATCGATCAATTCCACCTTTTGGGGAGGTGGTACTTGCTGAGGGTCGAGAGAATCGAGAGAAACTCCAGAGATTTCCTTGATATGCTTGGACATCTCTGGTGTGAGATATGCAGGACCGCCATCACGAGTGACCTCAACACGCTTTGGTGTTCGGACATTGATCTTGTCGAGTAAGTGAAGGCACAGGCGACGGTCCCACAGAAGTTGTTGCATTGGAACATCGTTGACGCAAAAAGGCTTTCGTGCCTTGACGTACGCAATCGCCTTGTCTAATGGGAATCCATCTGAGTAGAAAGAAATGAGATAATCGCTGTCTGATGTCAGTGGTCTATTTGGGTAATTCGGCACGTGCCTCTTGCAGCATGAAGATGCACCCCACTATGCTACTTCAGCTCACCGAGGGTGGAATTGACTTACCATATAGGCCAATTCTCAACCTCTGAAAACAAATAGATTAGTTCTGCTATTAAAACTCAGAGTTTCGTGTGATTCTTACCTTCATCGAGGATAACCTTGTCACCAAAGACGACCACATCGAATTCTCTGTTGGCGATAAGTCGGTTCAGAATGTTTCGGCTGGGTTTACTTCTGGCCTTGATATCGAGAGCGCACACGCCAATTACGCCATATCGTGATGGTTTCACTGCAGCAAGTTAGATACTGTGATCAAACCCTTCGCCCTGCAATTATCTCAAGTACAGGATACATCAACCTACCCTCTTCTCTCTCCCGGTGTTGGGGAGCCCGATCACTACTCGGGCTGTGGCTGCTGGTCGCTGTACTTCCGCTGAAGCGTCTTTTGGCTCGACTGCGAGATCGGTCAGGCCCCTGGTTGCGCAGGCCGGATGTAGCGTTTTGCATGTTGTCGTGACGGATGGCTCTTTTCGTAAAGTCAAGCGGCTGCGAGTTGTGATCTCGGGCAGTCAGGTTGTGCTGGTTGGGATTTCCTACGACCGTTTGGCCTGCTTGAAGACTTGAAGTAGTGACAGTGACGTTGGAAACTTCGGCTTCAGACTGTACTATCCCTGTGTTTATGCTCGTTGACAGAAATCCAGGCACAGATCGTGGTGGGGTTCCCAACTCTGATCCTTGAGCTGACGATGAACCACTGAGGACGCCGCGGGCGGATGCAAGAGAGTAGATGGATGTCCCCGAAAGCCTTCGAGATTGAAGGTCTGAGGAAGAAGAAAAGCGATTGTTTGTGGCGGTAGAAATTTCGGACGAGACGGTGTGAGAACTCTCTATGGCAGACGGTAAGCGGGTTCGCTGGCGGTGGGGTTCGTCTGAAAGTTGCGAATCGGTCAACACCTGATCTTCGGCGGCGGTATCTGAGGTCATGGACTCGCGGCGAGTATTTGCAAGAGCTCGGGGGTTCTTAATTGGCAAGGACGAGACAGCCGTTGTTGAGTTTGAGGCTGTCGTGAAACTAGACCGGCGTGCGTATGATTCTCTGGTAACAGGCTCGGCACCGCGACTCTTCCTAGTGGCAGCAGCAGCAAAAGAATTGGCGAGAAGCGACGCTGATGAGTAAGAGAGAGCACGAGCTTGGCGAGGCGGTTTGGCCTGTATTTGATGCTGCTCGGCAGGTACGTAACCAAAAGCGAGGGCCGATGTAGGAGAAAGAGAGTGTGGATTGGAGCGGCGAGGTGAGGTGGAAAAGTCGGCGGCGGAAGGTTCGCCGGAGGCGGAGGTAGAGGGGCTAGTCAAAGGTCCGGGTCCAGCTTTTTCTTGACCTTGCACCCGTGTCTGTGTTTGTGTTGGTGCTTTTTCTGGGCATTGATCGGAACTGGTAGTGCTAACAAGATTTGTGTCCGGTGGGCTCATGGTGTCGGCCGTTTAGAGCCTCCGCAATAGATAAAGTGAGCCAAGGTAAGGTCGTATGCGGATGATATGGATGGTATCAATTGATACAGTGCAGTATCCTTCTTGTTTGAAGGGCTGCGTGTTGCTGCTTATCCTTTGCAGTTCATGTACGTACTTTCTTGAAAGCGACTCTGATTGAATGTATTAAAACCCTGCTGTCAATTGATTCGTGCTGTCAAGCTTGGTTGAGTATATCGATTGGAGACTGCGTTTGGCAATAGAATTATAGCCACGAGCTTGTGGAATGTCTGACGTCGTTGAACACCCGTTTATTGGTATCTTTTTTGGGGTTATCGAGCCTAAATTGCTTGCAGACAGAATAAAGCGGGCTTCAGACGTTTTTCGATGTCCTCAATAGACTGTCTTGGGCGCGTCTCAACTCGGTCTTTGTCCACGGTTTTATGAAAAGGTGAAACAGTTTTCCCCAATACACGGAAGCGAGATGAAATGGGTTTATATTATGCTCACAAAAGACAACAATGTCTGGCTCAATGATGACCTGTCTTCTGTCTTAGTTTGAATTGGGCCGTTACCATGTTTGGTGCTCAGAAGAATGTGATGCGGGTGCTGCGCCGCCATCTCGTTAGGTACTAACACTGCTAATTGTATCTTCCCAACGCTTCATATTGCTGCAAGTCACCAGGTGATGGGGCTAGGCTCTTTCCCTTTTGTTCGTCCTGCAGCAATAAAGCTCCAAGATCGACTGTTCAATGACGCAAGCGCGAAGGATCGCTCTTACAATATGTCGATATTTAGGACTGACAACTGGATTGCAGCTGAGTTAACAAGACAAGGGCCTGTATAAGAGGCTAACAATACTCGTAGCGAGCAAGTATGGACATCACTTGCTGCAAATGTCCAGGTTTATTTCTAAATATTATATCGTGTAGATCATTCTCATAAACTTCATTTCAATGGCATATACTAAGCAACAGCTGCTTTTCATGGTTGTCATCAGATTTCTTATTGATTGATAGCGGGGTTCGTGATGGGGTCATCTGGGAGTGCAGGGCTCTGTCCGTGATAGTGGAGATGGCGCTTCCAAGCTTTTCTTGTAAGTCTTTTAGGTCTAGACTAAACATTACCATACTCATACATGCAGCGACATATTAGGCTGTTTTTCTAAACAGTAAACATGCAAGCTCTTAATAAAAAGACTGCGTTCATGCACCACATGACAGTAGCAAAAAGCATCAACCCTTGAGAACACCTACAGGCAGGTCCAGTGGCATCATCCATCGTTATAGTTTCAGGCACACGGCAATCAGAACGAGATCGAAAGGGGCATGCTCGAATTGAAGTTTGTTATTGGATGAACAAGTTGTGGAGGATGGCTACGGTATGTCGAGATTTCCGTTTTTGGTTACTTGAGGGGGACGTAAATTGAGTTGGGCAACAAACTTTCAATCTGAATGTGTCATGAGATGAGTACCAGATCTTGATATCTTGATAACTTGCAAAAGGCACCTGGTCACTTCTGCTCAACTGTTATTTTCGAGTCGCTTGGCCAAGCCTTGCCCTTCGTCATCAACTTAGCCTAGACACGCCATTGCCACTAGTTTCAGAGGGACGGAATTCCATCTTATCTACGCATCTAGGCATCCTACCCTGGAGACTATTTGTTCAACTACCGATACCCCTGCAGCCGTTCTATCGTTCGGACTCTCTAGCCACGAGTAACGCCTCTATGATAAGCAATATGCACCTGCAGAGCCGATCCAACATACATCGCCAAGACTACCCCATGTACTGTGTATAGATCCAAGTCTAATGAATGTCCCTGAAACGCATGGCCTGAGTGAGATGTGCATAAATGTTTCGTCTTGAGATGATAATAACAATCAAGTTTCAAACTGATTGCCCAGCCACTGGAGGGATGGTTTCACATTTGCAAGTACACTGTATTGTTTCACAGTTTCAGTCAAGGATTATATCATGCTAAACAAAAATTGAAAATCTATGGCGTAGGTAGCACAACCCAAAATCAACCCTTTCCGAGGGAGCCTCTCCCTTTAATGTATATGCTGTACATATGGGCCATGGTATACGCAAAAAGCCAATTTCCCAAAATCCCCAAAGCCAGGGAGATACCCAATGCATCATTTCATAAGTGTAAAAACAAAAATAATCATTTAGTCCTCGTTGGGGTTGTATCCCCAAAGTCGTCTTCGTTCGAGAGCCCACCAGTGGGCAACCTCGTCAGCTTCTCGCACCCAGTTCGCGGCTTCATCGCCGTACTGGCGCTTCACTGCCTTAATCATAGACTTGATGGTCCACTTGTCTAGAGCATCTAGCTCGAGCGGATCTTTGCTAAGATCTGTAAATGTGTATTCGAGGTCCTTCTTCAGAGGAACTGCCAGTCGCCACGGCGCGTCGGCTGATGTGACTGTGAGCATGCCGCCACCTGGGTTAATAAGCCCAAAGTTCCAAGCACGGCGGCCATCTTTGGTCTTTTGGTATTGTCTAATAAGGGATTGACCTTCGTAATCATTGGCGAGGTCGGATGCGATGGCGGAGTCTTCCTGGTTCAACGATCCTGAGTTGACAAGGAGGTCAAGAATAGTAGGGAGGATAGAGATGGAGGTAACGTTGGCCTCGTATTGGACGCGAGGGATGGCAGGGTGACGGAAGGAAATAGGAACTCGGAAGTTGCTAATGTGGCGGTTTTCGTAGGTACCCGTCTTGGAGAAATCCTCCTTGAAAGCTTGTCCGTGGTCACCAACAAATACAACAAGGGTTTCGTCCGCGATTCCAGCGTCCTCAAACATCTGCATCAGCTCACCGAGCCAGGTGTCAGTGAAGCGAATGGTGTTGAGATATTTGTCAAAATCTTGGTGTCGGCCGCCCTCCTTGCCCATGTACTTCTCGGTTTCGAACCATTTAGGCACGCCCCAAGGATGATGAGTTGTGCTAGTAAAGTGCGACATGAAGAGACGCTTGTTCTCGGCCAATCCATCGCTGATGTACTTCCTGATGTGCTCCTTCAGATCTGTCTCGGGATATCCAAAATAATTGATCTCTTCCATCTCGGGGTTGCTGAGGGCCTCTTCATCGAGCTTTGGCTTCGTGACCTTGAAATTGAATCCGATCTTGGAATCAAACTTGTCCTGTCGGTCATAGGAGTCTGTAACCGCCTGGAAGAATGCGGGCTTCCATTGGTACTCGTGGAACTTGGCTTGCTGACTTCCACTTGTTCCCCACCATTGATTCGATCCCCACCACTGTCGCTTTTCTGTCTGGTTGGCTTTGACCTTGTTGAATAGTTCGAGAACTTGGGGAAGGCAGGGCTGATAGCTCTCGAGTTCGGCCTCTTCGAACATGTTGACGGCCATGGGCCACGCGCCACAATGAGCTGCAGCGAGGCTCTTAGTCGAGACGCTGCTGGTAGTAAGACCTCCTACAACGTTGATACCACCAAACCCAGGCTTGTCCTGGTCCTTCCAGGCTAGGTTTTCGGGTCGAGTGTAAGCAGTACCATTTGAGCTTGCATAGTTGCCAGGTTTTCCTGTAATTCTCTCGAAGTTTGGTGTCAAGCGTGACACGCGACTGTTGATTTCATCTCTAAGCTTTTCTTGATGCGATTCCATGATGATACGGTGCATGTCGCTGCCCTGTTGAAGTGGGAAGAGTTCTTCACGCATACTCTCCATGAGGATAAGAGCAATGTGGCGGATCTTGACAGAGCTGTTGTGTAATGCCTCTTGGATGGGAGCAATGATGTCTTGGTCAAGGTTAGTAATCCGCATAGGGTCGTTGACAGGATTATAAAATCCCCGATCTTGCAGGGTGTTTGGGCATGTGTCACTAGGACCATCCTTCTTATCAGTCTCGTTTTTGTATCGTTCAGTGTCCCATTTGAGGAATCCACTGGGGATAGGACTAGGCAACCATTTAGGAGGGTTATCTCTGTAGGTCTTGACATAGTCGTTGTTAATTTTGCTGGGCGCCCAGCCCTTGAAACCACCCTTGGGGGCAATCCACTTGGACTGTTCAGTGAGTTCCTTGAGAGGCCATTCATTTTGAGAAGCGCAGAGACCAAATTTAGGTTTGACCGAATCGAGTAATCGCCATGGCAAGCTGCTTGCCATGTGGTTATAAGGTTGGTCAGGTCGAACGATGGTGGTTATACTAATAAAGAGGATGATTGAAGTCGTGATGATCCAAGACGGAATAAAAGCACACATGCGTCGTTTTGGTGATGCGCCTTCCTCTGAATCCTTCTCTTCTCCTTCGTAGCTCGGGTTGGGCGATGCATTGCCAGTGCTCGGAAGAGATTCTCCGCTGTTGGTGTGATGAAGGAAGGGTTCGGCGTTTTCAGGATCATGCTGATTTTGGGGTTGGGGGCGAATCTTTCTCCGTATATGTCTTGATACTTTTGAATGTTAAACGTCAGCAGTTTTGATAGGGTAACAGAACAACATACCCGAAGCAATGCGCTTTCCAAGGCCAGTTACCACGTTACCAACGGTTCGGTAGAGGTAGTTTTGAGGGAACCACGAAACAATGAGAATAATCAATGCAGAAACCACCACACTGCTACTTTCGCTAACGAGAACATTGAGACCTTCATCATTGGCAAAATCGCCAGCATCGCTCCATTCGACTTCGCCGCCTGTTCTGTAGTGGAAGCCGAGTTCAGATGCAGCAGCAACGAATGTTATTAGACTGTATGCGCCAACCGTTAGCGATAGAACCAATGAAACATCATAGAGCGGTATGAACGAAGATGTAAAGACTTACGTAAGAATGCAACCAAGAAAATAACCAGCAAAGGAAGCAATTGTTCGCTCTCGACGCAATAACAAACGGCCCAAGAGAACTAAAAAGAAATCTTGAAGAAAAAATGTCGGTAGGTAGACAATGAAGTCAATGACGGCAATCGAGTGAATGTGGATATACAAATGTAATAACTTGGCAAATAGTATTGATACAAAGTAGACGGCAAAAAGATATGAGACGGTTGAAGACATGTTGAGCCTATCTCACCATGATCAGATGAGATGAAGTCAAAGTAGGAAGATGGAGATGGAGAAGAGGGAAGGAACAAGGTCAGGTCTAGGCAAAAGCCAAGCGGACATAAGACTTTTTGTCAGATATACGAGGCAAGCAAGCATCATTAGTTTGTAGCTGAAGGAACAGACATCTAGCCCCAGCCCCAGTACCGGATTGAAGTGAAACAGAGTGACACGCAACCCCCCTCATCACCCCTTGCAAATCCTCACCCCTCAAATACTAGAGACAACGTACTGTACAGTACGTATAAATGGAATTACCTAGGGTTGGTATGTGGTCGCGTGTTGCGCTGCAGGTGGAGTGAACCGCAAAGCTTGGTGACACTGTACAAGTCAGTGTCGCTGCCCGGGTTTTGGCACTAAGCCAAATACAACCTTACCACCAACATCTCGTGCATAATCGACTACGCAAATCTAAGGCTTTAAGCTTACATCGGGCTTGCCTTTGACGCCTTTGACGTGCCCACAAGCCCGCTTCCTTAGCTCACTTTTCTTCTCGCTTTGAGTGTTTGGGCTGGGGTTTAGAGCCATGGATGGTCTGGTTTGGCTTTTTCTTAGACTGAGCCGCCCGCTGCGCCACCGCTGAAACAAAAACCACCTACCAACCTAAGAGGTACCTAGACCGGTGCACGCGCCCTGTAACAATTGATCTTCTGCCTGTTCAGTTCTGTTCCTGGCAAACTATCCAAAGGTTACCTCCACTTTTGGTAAAATAGAACAAAGGGGGCTTTTCTTTCAGTTCGGTAGTTCGTCGCCCATTGCTTTGTGGCCTCCAGATCCATTCCATATCGACCCCGATTTGCTGCGTCGTAAATGTAGCTACAATGCAACGGGTTGCTCTCAGGGAACAGAATACGAGAGAACATTAGATCCGATCCGATCCCGAAACCTTGCGTCCTCTTATACTGGTTTGCCCTGAATTGTTCCCCTGGCGCTGTGCTAACTTGCCCAACTGCCCTGACTTACAAGCGCTAATAACCTGGTGACGTCTACCGTCAATGTCATGGGTGGTATCATATTTATCCTTAGACAACGGCAATACAGCGGTCCTGACTAATGCTAGAGTCGCGTCAAAGATTAAAGTCTTACATAGTGTTTCCATCTCCATTTCTTACTGTGTCTTGGCTGACGGCTGGACAAGGATATCCAAGAATTGTCAAAGAATGGTGGGGTTGCGTTAAGTAGATCATTCTCAGGTGCATGGAGAACCTGTCGTTTCCATGCTATGAATAGAAGAAGAAGTGAAGGGATGACCATTGTTTTTGCAGTACAACGCACGCACTGATGAAGCAAACGCTGATATTTCGATCATCCCATCCAATGATTGATCCCTCACTTCATACTCACGCTCACTTACCAACAGATTCACACATTCAACTCCCTTCCCTGCCAAGCCCACTCACGTAAGTAAGGACGGCTGCAGTATACACGAGCAATGCCCCCTGCCTTGACTTCGATATCCTTGGCAACTCATGGTGTCACAAACATGCTATCCAAAAACTTGTCTTGGGAATATTGATCAACGAGTACCACATCGGTTAAGCCGTGCCGCCATTGGGACCCAGGCATGTACACTAGGCATTCTCGCAGCCTTGCTGCACAACCGAGCTTTACCAGGCGCGTATAGATCAATTGATTTGACCTCGTAGGGGTCGAATCGAAGCCGAAGGAGCAGGGTCCGATTTCGTCAAAGATCTATTTCAGTCCAGATCCTCGATTGATTTCCAGAATTCCAGTCTCAGTGTCTTACGCCATGGCTTACCGTCGTTGCCTGCCGGGTAACAGGACCCTGTGTAAGAAACTGTCAAACTGGGCTAGTAGAAGGCTCTTCTGGACTTGACGTGATGCCGCATTCGCGACGATCAAGCTGACAAAATGATTTGTACACTGTAGCTCGAATGAGTCGAGGCTCAATTTACCACCAGAGTAAATCTTTGATATAAAATAATATAACCATCACATATAATGAGACTTCGTTCTTGTTTCTGGCGGGAAAAAAGTATTTAGAAAAATCGGGAGTCGTTTCAAAGTCATTCTTAGTAGGTCAATAGGTGTAAATATTTTCTTCAATTCTGTGTTGCAAATACTGCCGTCAGTCACCGCCAAAAATTGTAAATTTTTGGAGATGGATCCAGCATCACGTAGAGCAGCCTCCATCGCTGAGCGCAAGCGGGCATCACTGGTGTAGTTACTCTTGTCGCGACTCGCACCAACTGCATATAATATAATCACAATGCCTCATAATGATGCAGACCACCCGGTCAAGCGTCAGAAAACTGTCGCACCAGCCAATGCTTCAAAGTCCGCATCAGACTCTTCTCGAATTTTTGCGCCTTTCCGCGTATGTCTCTTTTCTCTGTTGCCTCACCATGTTGCCATAACTAACTTTTTCGCAATAGACTGTTGGTTTAGTATCTCCTACAAGTGTTCCCTTCACCTCGATTCCTCTCGGCAAGACCACTTTCCAGATTTCGACCTCTGTTGGCCGATCTATTCAGACCTACGATCTTCGTCGCGGACTAAACCTCGTTTTCATTACTCGCCCGCAGACCCCCGCCGATATCACCGCAACTCTCGCCTGGAAGCAACAGATTTTCGCAGCATGGGGAGGATCTATCAAGGGTGAAGCTCAGGGTGTCTGGATCTTCCAGAGAGGCAAGAAGGTTAATGAGCTTGTGCTGCCTTCCGACCTCAACGAACCTGTCCAGCAGATTCAGGTTTTGGGAACATGGACTATCATCGCTGCTCTGACGCGAATCGAAATTTTCAAGACAGCCACTCTGGAGCACTACACTACCATCCACACCACGCCTGCCAACGACCGCGGCAACGAAATCACTGGCGGTATTGTGTCTATGCCCACTTTCCTCAACAAGATTTTCGTGGGTCGCAAAGATGGTTGGGTCGAGATCTGGAACGTCAGCACCGCCAAGCTTATTTACACCATTCTGCCTCCTGGCCCCGATTGCGGTTCTGTAACATGCCTGGAGCCCAGCCCTGCTCTGTCTCTGCTGGCTATTGCCTATTCTGAGGGAACCCTAATCATCACAAATGTTCTTACTGACAAGATCTCGCTTCGCATTGAGGCCGGCAGCTCGGAAGCGCCAGTCAACTCGATCTCTTTCCGAACCGACGGTATGGGTGCTGGTAACGATGGACGCAAGGATGGTGTTATGGCTACATCGACAGCTGCTACTGGCGATGTCACATTCTGGGATTTGAACGGTGGCGGCCGTGTTATGGGTGTTTTGCGAAGCGCCCACAACCCTCCCTCCTACGAAGGACCTACTGTCCGTGGCGGTGTCAGCAAGATCGAGTTCCTCCCCGGTCAGCCCGTGGTCCTGACCAGCGGCCGCGATAACTCGCTCAAGTCCTGGATCTTTGACGAAACCCCATTTTCGCCTGTTCCCCGAATCCTGCACTCCCGCAGTGGACACGCTGGCCCCGTCAACTGCCTTCAGTTCCTTCCTACCGACTTTGAGGGTGCCGATGCTGGTAACAAGTGGTTGCTTAGTGGTGGACAAGACCGAAGTCTTTGGGGATGGAGTTTGCGCCGTGATGGTCAGAGTGCAGAGTTGAGTCAGGGCAATATTCGCAAGAAGGCCAAGAAGATTGGTATTCTGGCCACCAATGCCCTGTCGCATGGACCAACAACGACTTTGGAGGACCTCAAGGCACCTGAGATTACATGCATGGCTTCTTCACTGAACCGAGATGGTGGCATTGGTGCCATGCCCGGTAACCAGCCTATATGGCAAAAGTCACAGAAGAAGAGGGCGCATAATGCAGAGGTTAGCGGTATGACCGGCTGGGAGAGTGTGGTTACTGCTCACAAGAACGATTCCTATGCCAGAACATGGTTCTGGGGTCGCAAGAGAGCAGGTCGATGGGCTTTCCCTACTGGAGACGACTCAAACGTCTCGACTGTTGCCATCAGCCCATGTGGTACCTTTGCTTTTGTTGGCGCGGAGTCTGGTGGTATCGATATGTACAACCTACAGTCCGGAAACCATCGTCAACGATTCCCTTCAAAACTTACCCCAGCCCAAGCTCGTCAGCTCAAGATGCAACAGCTACGACAGGCAGACGATGTCGTGCAACTGCACGCCGAGTCTACACGCCAGTTTCCCATCGGCACCGGAAGGCATACCAAGCGAGTCACCGGTCTCGTTGTTGATTCGATGAATAAGACAGTGGTGTCTTGCTCTTTGGATGGAAAGATCAAATTCTGGGATTTCTTGACAGGTAACCTGTTGGAGCAGATCGACTGGGCACCCATGACTTTCCCCACGGGATGCAGATACCATCCTGCGAGCAACCTCATTGCCTTTTCATGTGATGATCTGTCGATTCGCGTGGTGGATATGGAGACCAAGAGAACTATTCGTGAGTTCTGGGGCCCTCAGGGTGCTATCAACGACTTCTGCTTCTCTAGCGACGGACGCTGGATCATCGCAGCCTCTCAAGATTGCGTCATTCGTGTCTGGGACCTTCCTACAAGTCACTTGATCGATGCCATCCGACTTGAGAAGCCTTGCAAGGCGATTGCAATGTCCGTCACTGGTGAGTACCTGGCTGCGACAATCGAGAACGAGTTGGGCGTAACGCTATGGACCAACAAGGCTCTGTTCAAGCATGTTCCCACACGCCAAATCTCTGAAAAGGAGATTGGACACATCTCGGCTCCCACGGTCTCTGGCGAGAACAGCCATGGTATGTTGGAGGGTGCATTTGAAGAAGAGCAGGCCGAGGATGAGGATACTGTGGTGGCACCTACGATCGAGCAGCTCAGCGCCGATCTTACAACCTTGTCTCTGGTTCCCAAGAGCCGCTGGCAAACACTACTACACCTGGATCTTATCAAGGAACGAAACAAGCCCAAGGAAGCTCCCAAGGCTCCTGAAAAGGCTCCTTTCTTCCTACCTTCTACAACGGGCAAGGAGAATCCCATGGCGAATAAAGAACAGAAGGCGGATATCGAGAACACATCTCGTGTCACGAAGCTTGAGCAAGCTCGTTTTGAGCAGGCACTCGGCTCCAAGCTTCGTGTTGGAGCAGAGACCGGAAACTGTGAGCATATTCCTTTCTCACTTCTGTTTGCATAAACTAACTTTACACAGACGATGAATTTATTGAACACCTCAAGTCTCTCTCCCCTTCAAGCGCAGACCTGGAGCTTCGCTCGCTCTCTATTGGTGATGGCGACGATGTTCCCAACGAGCTGCTGCATTTCATCCGTGCTTTGACAGCCCGTCTCAGAACACGCCGAGACTATGAGCTGACCCAGGCCTGGATGACTGTATTCCTCCGACTTCACTTTGATCTGGTAATGGAGAACCAGGATCTCCTTGAGGCATTGAGCGAGTGGAAGACGTATCAAGAGAAGGAGTGCAACCGATTAGACGGTCTGGTTGGATACTGCAGTGGTGTAGTTAGCTTCTTGAGGAGCCCAAGAACGTAAAGGCGTGAAAGAGCAGAGCAATATTGGTTTGATAGTAAAATAATGGCGTTTGAATATCATGGCGTGTTGGGAGCATATGGTATACTAGACAATACAATATTCGATCCCAGCAATTTTTCAACTCTGATCGCTCGGTGTGTTCATATTTTCAACATCCTCAAACTACTGACTTATGAACCTTGTTTGTGATCTTGTTCAAACGAGTCACATCTTCAACTCCTTCCTGCCTGTGAATCCTATAAATATACAGTTTCATCCTCCCCCAACTCTTCCAAGACTAAACTCCGTGTAGTCTTGATCCTCTGTGTTTCCAAGTTCACCGCGTTTGTGCATTCACGCTAGCATTCGTATGATGTTCGAATGGTCGTCGCGAAGGTGTTATGCACTCATGTCTGGGGAGTCGATCGTGCGAGACAGTACTGGCTGATCGACTTTCTAGACCTGCTCGGCACCCCAGCCAGCGTCTTCGGCCTCGCGCATGTTGGCAGGGGGCTCGATGGAGGGAACGAACTCGAGAGCGACGTAGGCAATACCAGTGATACCGACGATGCTGCCAGCGATCTTGCTGAGAATGCTGTCGCTCACCATCAGAGAGCCGAGGAAGATGTAGACTGGGAGTGAATTAGTCGCGATTCGAGAACCACTGTAACAGACGTTAACTTACAGACACCACGGCCGATGAAGGAGAACATGAACGACGCATGTCGAGAAACTTGAGGGGGAATTTGGAACTCTGGGATCTATTAGTATTGACTTGCGGGGATTCAGTCTGTCGCGACGTACCAAGAAGGCCAGTAACAAGACCAAAGACGATCATGTAAGCACCCAGGATGATAGGCTGACTGCAGAAGAGGCATTAGTACTCGCGCTGCTATATTACGGCCAAGTGCCTGATTCGAGTGCAAATTGGAGGCAATCGGTTTCGATGGAATTGACGTGGACGTACAGGCTGAAAGAGAAGATGGACACGATACCACCGAGGATGACGATGACACCGACTGCCAAGTTGACAATGCGACTACACATTGATGCGATGGTTAGCGACGATGCAATTCCCTACAAAAACTGATGCGATGCTTGCAACTCACAAGATGTCGGAGGGCTCCATGTTCATTGTGTCTTAGGATGAAAGGGTATTGTTCCTGAGGATTGCGCCAGTGATGATTCGTGGTCGATCGAGTTTAAAGAAGAAGGGAGATAAAGCCAGGCAGCAGCTTTAAAAAGAAATCACGTTCAAGGCAGACGAATTGTGATGGATGTGAGGTTTGCGTGGCCACGAATGGAGTTGGAAAAGCACAGGAATAAGATTACGTAGTTAGCCCCCAGAGACAGGTGCTGTAGGCTGTAGCTTTAGGTGAGGTGAACCCCCAGAATCAAGAACCTGTCTCTAGTCCTTGTCTAGAGCTTCGCTTCAGGTTAGAGCAGTCACAGCCACATACAGGGGGCTAGGCCTAGTTTAGCCAATGACGATGGTGGGAAATCAGGAGACGGTTGCGGAGCACGAGTTTTAAGTCTTGACGAATCATAATCGAGAATCAAAAACAGCAGAGAAAGCTCAAAATCAACCATCGATCGAGAAATTAAAAGTGAACAAGGGCTTTGAGATGCCTGGTTCGAGTCTTGGTCTATTTCCGAGTCCGGAATGATTATTTTATCGCTACTAAGGAGCGGCCCGGCCATCAATGGCTCGGGCCGCTGTCTTGCTCGCCAATGGCGCAATAAAGAGCTCGTCAATCTATCTCGTCGAGCTATGCATCAGGCGCATCATGATACTCAGCTACAAAACATACGAAATATTGGTATCATTGCTCATGTTGATGCTGTAAGTTGGACCATTTCAAGTACCTTCTCTTCAATAAATCTCACATAAATAAAGGGCAAAACAACAACCACTGAGCGAATGCTCTATTATAGTGGTGTCACGCAACGAGTTGGAGGTAATTAGGATATGACCGAAACTCACTGGGAGTAAATACTAATAAAAAGTCAGATGTCGACTCTGGAAATACGGTGACAGACTTTCTCGATTTGGAGAGAGAACGAGGCATCACCATTCAATCAGCAGCCATCACATTCAACTGGCCTCTTCACCAATCACTTGCTCCTGGTCAACATGCAAAGACGATCAATCTCATTGATACACCTGGTCATCAAGATTTTCGCTTCGAGGTCGATCGCTGTCTTCCCATTCTGGACGGAGCAGTCTGCATTATCGATTCAGTCAAGGGCGTTGAAGCGCATACAGAACGAGTATGGGGATCTGCTCACGAGTTCAGAGTACCACGCATTGTATATTGCAACAAGCTTGATCGAGAGGGTGCCTCTTTCAAAAAGGCTGTTCTCGAGATAGGAACGCGTCTCAAAGGTTGGCCACTCGTCTGCCAAATTCCTTGGTGGGAAAAGGAGGACTTTGTTGGTGTAATTGATATCGTCAACCGAGTAGGATATCGATGGAAGTCTGAGCGTGAAAAAACCGTCTACAACACCGCTCAGCTAAAAGAGAAGCTTTCAAGTTCCAACAAGGATCTTCTTCCTGAGATTGAGACTGCGAGACAGGCTTTGATTGAAGGTCTTGCGGATTTCGATGAGGCTATCATGGATGAATTCCTCGCCGAGAATGAAAACATTGATGCGGCTGTAATCAAGCAAGCTATCCGAAGAGTCATCCGAGAAGGCGATGGCCGTGTGATTCCTGTGTTTGCGGGTTCCAGTTTCCGCCATATCGGCGTCGAGCCATTGATGGATGCCATCACAGATTATCTACCAAGTCCAGACGAGCGTCCCTCTGCAGAGGTCCGTGTTGGTTCAGTAAAGCAGCGCTTGATTGAAGTGCTCGATAACAGTTCCAAGACCGCCAGAGGACAAGTTTCTTCAATCGCTTCAGTCTTCAAGGTCTTTAACCACCCCAAGGAGGGTGTAATCAGTTTTGTGCGAGTTTACCACGGCACTCTTACCAGAAACGCAGCAAGTTTCAACACCAACATTTTGGCAAATGAGAAGCCTATGGGAATTCTTCAGATCTCTGCAAACAAAACACAAGATATTCAAACATTAGGGGTCGGTCAGATCGGAGCTCTGAGAGGGTTGAAGAAAGCCCGAACTGGTGACACACTCATCACAATGAACGGAAATAAACCTATTCCTGAGTCTTTCCGTCATGTCAAGATTCGGCCACCTGAGATTCCACCACCAGTGGCGTTCTTGCAGGTTGAACCCTACGGCAACGTTGCCGCCCAGGCACTCCAGATCGCGCTGGAGAATACCACAAGAGAAGATCCCAGTCTGCGATACAGCCGAGACCCCAAGACCGAACAGTTCACCATCCAGGGTATGGGCAAGCTGCATCTTGACGTTTCACTTTACAACATGAAGCAAAAGTACAAGATCGATGCCGACTTTGGCCCTATCGAGGTCGATTACAAGGAATGCGTCACAGCGCCTACGCGGCCTCAGCACGTCGTCTTTGATCGTCCCGTCGCGAGCAAACCGGGCAAAGTGACGTGTACTGTTACTCTAGAACCACTTGAGGAACACCATCGAGAAACGTTACTAGAGTCCAGTGTTGAACGCGACGGGAACATATATCACGTCGTCATTCCTTTGGCAGAAGGCGCTACCACTCTGAACTTTGACCCTGAAGAGGCAAGGGCACAACTCCTCAACGGCGCTATTGCAGGTCTCGCGAGGGGTCCTCGTCGTGCAGCTCCCGTTCACGGGTGCCACGTAACCATCACACTGGACACAGAACCTGGAGCCTGCGAAACCCCCACCGGTGGCCATTTCAGCAGTGCTTCCAGGACGGCAGTGCAGGCTTCTCTGCGAGATGCATTCGAGAAGGGACAGATTGGCATTCTGGAACCCATTATGCTTGTCAACATCACTTGTCCAGAGGTTGCAGCCGGTGCAGTGCAGCACGACGTCACAGCTGGTGCCGGTGGTCAAGTTCTAGAGGTCAACGACAGATCTGCCGAGTCTACGGGTGAAGACCACATTGATGTGTCCAAGATCTACACTCCTCCTGACCCGTACGACTCTATCACTTCATTGCGTGGTAAGAAGTCTACGGCTCGTGTGGTTGAGATTATTGCCAAGGTTCCGTACAAGGAGATGTTGGATTATGATAACCATTTGAGAAGCAAGACTGCAGGCCGACACTCGATGACCATGTTCTTTGACTCTTTTGCCAAGGTTGTTGGACATCGTGAGAAGGGCTTGTAGGGGGTGTGTACCATTGTAAGATAGAATGGAAAAGTGAAAAGATTTATGTATATTATGTACCACCTGAATATGAGAAACGGATATGTGCCATGATGCATGAAATCTTGCGTTGGTTTTAAAAACTTGGGTAGGTTGTTAGTGTGTTAATCGTCGTGTTGACGGACGTCAATATCATAAATCAAGGACAGAGTACGATCATAGCTAAGCGAATGTATTTGTAATTGTCTTATGTACCATGTTCTATATACGAGAGAAACAGACAATGCGCTGGATCCTAGCAATAACGAACTACCTTATAGAATGGGGTATTTCTATCAGAAAAATCTACCTAGTGTCCAAATATTATAAACGCCAAAAAGAAGAGGAAGTCATCATCGTCAAAACGCTCGCCATATGTAAAAGATCAAAAGAATGAGAAGAAATAAGCAATCCCTTTAGACAGATCGCTTTTGAATGTTGCACTTCTTGAGGCACTCGTCAACACCCAGAGCAATGCTCTTGGGAATAGCAGCGCGGACCTTGTCGATGTCCTCGCCAGCAATGCTCTGACCAAAGGTAGCAGCAATAACATCATCGCTCAGAGCGACAACCTCATCGGCAATCTGACCAGTGCCAAAATCCTCGGCGGCAAAGGAGGCGACGAAAGTAGCAGGCTCGCAGTCGGGGTTGAATTGAGTGTGGACAGAGCCTTGGTAGAAGGGAGTCATCATGTTGGCTTTGAGCTCGGTGCGAATGACTCGTCGCTTGCCGTCCTTGTCCATGACACCGTTCTCTGGAACCATCTCTGTGATGAGACGGCCTGATGTGACAACTTGAAGTTCGGCGGAGCGGGGGTGGACGTGGAGAGTGTTCATGCCGCAGGCTAAAAGAGATGTTAGAGTTGTTGTGTAGTATAAGTGTGGAAGAAACTTACCGTCAATTCGGCCAAAGGCCATGCCAGAACCAGTGCCAACAAGAGCAGGAAAGGTCTTGCGGTTAGCAGCAATGAGCTCGCCGCCCTTTCCAGGGTTTTCCTGCTTCTTGTTGAAGTCGAAGACAAAGTCCTTGTCGTCGGGAAGAAGGGCAAAGCGGTCAGCAGCGCTGGTTAAGGTGTTAGTCAAGGGTCTTCATGAGAGGTTGTTGTTGAGAGTCACTTACGTATCAGCAAGTCGAAGCTGGGCAGTCAGACTGGGGGCCTCGGCGTAAGATCGTCGAGTGTTGCGAGGAGCAGCGTCTGTGAAAGAGGTGAAGGCCAGGACGGCGGAGATGATGGTGGTGGTGAACTTCATTTTGCTTGATGATGAGTGTAAGTGTGAATATGATGTAAGTAGTCAAGAGACTTAGGTTATGTAGATGAGAGATGATTGTAATGTTTGAGTGTGATGATATTGAATTATATTTCTCAACTTGACAGGACAAGGCCATCTTCTTATACATTATTATTGATTCCGAATGTCCCACATGATAGACAGGCACAAGATGCAGCTAAGCTAAGCTGTCTGACAGGAACAGCTTTTCACAAGGCTCTGCAAACTCAAAAATAGGATACACAACAGCTTTGCTGTGCGATGCCTACGGAAACATTGACATCCGCTGCCAGTTCATCATGTAGGCCAAGTAGTACCAGCCACATCCTTGAAGTTGCTGTTGTCTTGGTGTTGAGCAAGTGACTGCTATTGGTCATTTGCCGCTATTTCAAGATTTAGAGGGCTGTGCAGTGGGAAAGAAGGGACCCAACAGGCTGGGCTGGGCTAAACTGAGCCAGTGACCGCAGCAGACCAAAAATATCGCTAGTAAGCGCTTCTGTTAGTTAAAAAGCCAAGCCCATGTCAGCACCAACAATCCTACGTTTCGACGGATGTTGAATAAGCCGGTCAAGATGGTCGAATCAGAAGAAAGTTTTGTTTCTGTTGGTCGGATATTCTCAGGAAACAAAACAAAAGTAAAGGAACCAGCCGCCATGTTTCAATGTTTACAGCTGTCATAAGCCACGTTGGCCAAACTAAGCCAGGCCATATGTAAGCCAAGTATTAATATGGAGAGGGTTTGTTTCTATTTGGAACATTGAGGGAGATATTCCATGCTTTGATAGACATTTTTTACTTTTGGTTCTCCCTTGCAGCTAGTTCTCCCTACTGATGTTGTCTCATATTGAGGGTTGATTTATGAGTTGTTCGGGTCTGTAGGTTAAGCTTATCCGTAGGAAATAAAGAGATGAGAAACAAACTTTCAGCCACTGATTTAAAGAGTTTTTTTTTTACCAGTTAAAGTCTCCCTCCACACTGTTTCGTGCAGTTAACTCAAGTCATTACGCCACTCCCGCTCGGGACGCACAATAACTTTGTTTGGGTTTGAAACATGGCTTCAAATGTTTATTCAGATTGGTCTATCCACTTTTGCCAGTATAACTCTTCCGTTCCCACTTGATATATTACCCTAGAGACCTGTATTCTATCACGGGAATAACAAGTGACCCTGTTTGAACAGTGATAAACTAGTCTCGACACAATGTATCCCTATAACTCATTTCCCTATGACAATACGCCATAGACGACTATGAATAATTCGTTGATAGTCAGGTTACAGGTGATTCTGATTCTGATCCCAGAACAGATCAAGTCCGACAACCGGAATACAACCTTTGAATCTCGCTTGAGTTCAATCGCGTTGAACAGTGGATAATTTACCTGTACTCCGTAGTTACTTGGTGCGGGCCACAGAAAGCGGTTGCAAGGTTGAATTTTAAGCGATATTTGGATCCTCAGATAACAATGCTTGTTTATTCGCATCAAGCTCTTATCCGACTGGATAATCAGAGATTGAAGGTATCTATTAACATAGAGTCATGTTTATATGTAAGAGAAGATATGTTCGTGATGAATAAGTATTGTTTATTGATAGCCGGTCCTCTCAAAAACAGGAAGGAAAATGCATTGTAGGTTGAGAGACTCAAGAGGCAGGTGTTACAAGGTCACGCTTCTTGCCTCCTCAACCACGGTTCGTGTCACTCAGCTCACTCACTCACTCACTCACTCACTCATTGCACCTCAACAGGTCCCTTTTCCACTCCAACTTCCACTATGGAGACACGCTAAACCAGGGAAGCATGGCGTCGATCTTCCAAAATACAAACTAACAAACACTAACTTACCTAAGATTAATGTCCCCCCTCAACAGTAGGTGAGCCTTTTCATCAATCTTATTCTCATTCGAAAGAGAAAGGCTGACTCGTCTCCTCAGACTTTATGATTAACATCACCTGCCAAGCGCGTCTCGACAGCCAATCGTTAGCGGCGTAGTAAGCGTTCCGTCCAGCCTGCTTGCGTTTGCGCGGTCAATCAGTTGTGGCTCCTATTCTAATAGGAGCCGTCTTTGAAGCCGTTGCAACGCTAACCAAAGACACATTGGCCCAGGAACAATTTAACACTGGCATGCGGGAAAAACAACTGTCAGGGGCTTCAGAATGGCCAGCGAGCCAATGTAAGCTCTCGCCTCAAGCCACCGGATAAAACGTCCAGGGGTAAAACCATGGCGGAAGTTGAGAGCACAATAGAACAAGGACGCCATCTTTTCAAAAGAAAAACAGGATCAAGACAAGACAAAACAGGAAGAGATCCAGAATAACAACCCAAAACGACAACCGAGACAAGCTTCAATAGACGACGTCTTCAAAACCTATGCTAGAACAAAACCTCCATGGAACAATGTTCTCTTGCCTTATCCGGGCCTTTGTTCCGAGCATGCTTGTCTTATCGCCAGTATCAACTCTCTTTTTGGCATCGGCAACTGCAGAATTAAGCTCGTCTTGACATGATGCGATAGACTCTAATCTGCTCCGAGTGTTATCCCCTGAGCCAACAGACTTGACCAAGGCACAGCTCTCAACAGGATTGGCCAGATCCGAGCTAGGGGTCAGGTAAAGACCTGGTCTGATTGGGAACAGTTTCATTACTTGACCCCCTGTCACAGGAGAACCTCCACATTATGACAGGGAATCTCAAGTTCATGCAGGTACGGAGAGGCCATGGCTCAGCATGGGGTCCTGCCCACGAGCCCACAGACGAGGCCCTCGCTTGTCGTTCAATCTCCTGGTCGTGTGGGTGAATGCGCCGCCGTCCGCGCTTCTGATCATTGCTCATTTCCTGGGGATCCATTTCCATCTCGCCCACTGTCGATCTCTTAATACTCATGTCCTTGCTTCCTTGCCTGTCACTCACTCTTTTGTTTCCTTCCTTTTTGTTAAAACGTTCTGTTGCTGGCCCACAAACTTGTTGTGCTTCTTCGTCAGCTTCATCACTCGTTCTGTCGCTCGACGACAATTACACTCTTTTATCTCAGTTCGCCAGGATTTATGTCGTGTTTTTGACAAGTTAAATAAAAGGATTGGAGGTATTCGCGCACATATTCACCAACATACTGGACTTATCGAATCGAACCGACTATCTTTGATCGACGACAATCACAATGAGACTCATCAACCTTTCGGCTGCCCTTGTGGGTGCCCTATCCGCGCCATCAATCGTCGCTGCCAAGTCCCACGGCCATCGCCATGGTCAACATTCTGCCCTTGAATCTCGTCCTCTCCAAAAGCGAGGAGGACAATGCCAGTTTCCTACCGATGACCCCAACATGGTCGCCGTCACTCCTGATGCGAAGAATGCCGGTTGGGCCCTTAGCCCTGATCAGGAGTGCAAGCCTGGAAGCTACTGTCCCTTTGCCTGCAAGCCCGGTATGGTTATGAACCAATGGGATCCGGATTCCACCTACGAGTATCCCTCTTCTATGGTACGCTTGTGACACATCGTCTATCAAACCGGAAAATTCCAGCTAACACTTCCCAGGACGGAGGTCTCTTCTGTAACAAGGATGGTGAAATTGAGCAGCCTTTTGAGGGCAAGCCTAACTGTGTCTCTGGCACTGGCTCCGTCGAGGCTGTCAACAAGTGTGGTTCTACAATGTCTTGGTGCCAGACTGTCCTGCCTGGTAACGAGGCCATGCTTATCCCTACTGTTGTTTCGTCTAGTGCAACTCTGGCTGTTCCCGGATCTTCCTACTGGTGCTCCACCGCCGCTCAGTAAGTATTTTAAGTCTTGTTGATCACTGAAGATCTCTAACCATCGACCAGCTTCTACATCAACCCCCCTGGTACTGGCGAGGAGGGCTGCATCTGGGGTACTGAAGACAAGCCTGTTGGTAACTGGAGCCCTTACGTTGCTGGTGCCAACACAGAGTCAAACGGCCAGACTTTTGTCAAGATTGGCTGGAACCCTATCTGGGAGGACTCTGCCTTGAAGAGCACACTCCCTGACTTTGGTGTTGAGATCCAGTGCCCTGACGGTGGCTGCACCGGTCTCCCTTGCAAGATCGATCCTACCAAGGGCAAGGGAAACGTTGGCAGTGAGCTTTCTGCCAAGGGCGCTGGTGGCTCAGCCTTCTGCGTCGTCACCGTCCAGAAGGGTTCAACTGCCCAAATCGTTGCTTTCTCTACCAGTGGTGGCGGTTCAGGATCTGGCGATGATGACGAGGATTCCGAAGATTCTGAGTCTTCCACTGCCGAGGCCGAGGCCTCTACCACCGCTGAGGTCGAGCCAACCACTTCTGAGGAAGTAGAGGTTAGCACCACCGAGGAGCCTTCAACTACCGCAGAGCCTACCACTTCTGCCGCTCCTACTACCTCTGCTCAGCCCACAACCACCAGCGCAGCGGAGACAACCTCTACACCCGCGGAGACCACCACTGAGCAGCTGTCGACTTCTGCTGCCGAGACTTCTTCTTCTTCTTCTGAGGAGCCTACTTCAACCAGCTTCACGTCCGCTACTTCTTCCAATACCAAGACCAAGGTACAGAAGGCCACCTCGACCACATACACCAGAAAGATCTACCCTACCGTCAAGCCCGGTATCTTCCGTGAGAACGGTACCACCACTTCTACCGCCTCCGAGACCGAGGAGACTGCTGCCGCTACTGAGGCAGACTCTGGAGTTGCTCCCACTGAGACCAAGGATAGTGGAGCTGGTCGTGACCAGGGCAATGCTGCCCTCGCCGGCCTCGTCGTTGCTTTCATCGCTGCCGCTTGTTTCTTCTAATTCATGTCTCCTTTAACGACCATTCACCGCTGCGTCACCACAGTTGGTTTTCACTTCACAGACTCTATTTACCACATACATTCCTTTATTATTGATACTTTACATATATTATCAAGCCACCTACTTAGTGGCGATAGTGTCTATTGTCCCCTTTCATCTATACTACTCACCAGTCTTATGGCTGTTGTGTCAGTTGGTTGACGATACCCGCCCCGGGTATTAATATTCGTCAAGAGTCTCATTTGGCTCTTGTTGCTCGCGGGCATTATACATAGTTCAACGCTTCTTTTCACGGTCGATATACCCTTTTTAGCAATCATTGGAGACATTGGATATTTGGAGGAACAAGCGATGGTTTTCTTTTAGTTTATTAACGACGTATGCACACTATGAACAGAGAGTTTGGTTTGGAGCTTCAGAGTATGTCGGGTGGTTTGGAAGTGAATATACGGGGAGGGCTAGTTGATGGGATGATGCTCTGGTCATCTCGACTTATATAACTATGAAAATAATCTTGTCTAGAGACATTTAATGATGTGGTGTACGTTATCACATGCAGATACTGAAAAAGAATATGTGTCTAGGCATGGTTTCATTTCTTGAACAAAAGGTCCATTCTCTCAGTGCACTCCAAGTTGCCATCTTTACTTTCCTTAGGGTATCATACAGTAGAAGTATATTATACAAACGCCATTAAAATGATTTAGGCTTTAATAATTATTTAATTTAGGTTCCCTTTCGGACATTTTCCTACTTGACCCATCCAGGTACCTCATCAGGATCGAAATCCCCATCGTATCTCCTGTCCCGAACTGCGTGCCACACGTTGGGCCAGCCAGCGAGCACAGGGCTGCCCTTGGCCTTGGCGCCGATGATAGCGAACCGTCCTGATCCGTGAGCAATGAATCCGTGCATCAAGCCCTGCTGCACGAGCGTCGCAACCGTCATCTCCACGTCTTCGGATGTGACCTCTGCGTTGCCCCATACCATACCCTCGTTGGGTCGTAGGGATTTGGGACCGCCAGGCGGTGGGGCTAGCGTAGTGTCGCCTTCAGGATTCTGCACATTGTTCCCGAGAGCCTTCATCAGAAGGGGGTTTACGTTCTGAGATCGACTATGGACGTTGGGCCCTGCTGGTACCCACCCCTCGAGGCGTCGTTGAAGGTACATGGCAACTGTGTGCAAGTCGGCGAGGTCAAGAGTGGCAGCCTTGCGGGATGATGCATCGGTGGGAGGAATATACGTTAAAAGGAACGTTTTTCTACTCAATGATCGCCAAAGTAGTGGTCGCAGACGGTTGCTCAGTGTCAAGAGAAGACCCTTTTCGAAGAGCCATGTCTCATTTTGTGCCAAGTGATGTTGGAACAGGATAAAGTTGCCGGATCTGATAGCCTGGCAGATGGGGAGAAAGACAGGTGCCAAATCATTGCATTCCTGACGCTGGAGCAACACCTGTGATGGGAAACGTCCCAGTAGAATGTTGCAGGGGATCAAGTATGTGAGGATATTGGTTCGGTGGGAAACCAATTGCGAGGGAGTCTGGAGATATGCCTGTTCAAGACACAGCGCGGCGCGCAGGTAGTGGTTGTTTGAGAAGTTGAAGCGGCCCAGGTAGTAAAGAAATGTGACGCGTTGGCCAGCTGGGTAGAGTGATAGAGGCGGAGAGATGGTGTTAATGTTGACAAATATCATCTTTGCGAGATGCGTTCTCCGACACTATTATCTTGTCAGCTTCCCTTTGCATAATATGTAAAGGTTATAACATACTGCGAACAGGAGCTTGAGTACAAGGTTGGCAAACATGTAGACACCGATTTTCTTGCCTTCAGGTCGATCATAGCGACCACTGGATCGGTCTGTCAAACAAGTGGTGAAGATCTTTTGGATAATTTCTGCTGATGACTCTGCGATGGTCTTGTCTTCGTCGACGGCACGTAGCCGACGCGCCAACTCAGGCCGTCTGCTGAGAGACATTGTGAGGCGGGCGAGAGTCTCTGACAGAGACATGCTTGTCTTGAGAAGCATGGCTCCATATGTAGGATGAGCAAAAGCAGTTGAGCATGAGCTGCAGTCGCAAAACATTAGCGATGATAATTCTTGATCCGATATTGAATTCGTTTCATTCATACTTAACAAGGCCACTCAGCAACTGATGCGCGCCTAGCAAATCATCATAGTTCACGTCGCGCCAGAAAGCCATATAATCTTTCATAAAGGCGATAAAGCCTGGCCACACGGTCGCTTGACCCTCGGGGACGTCATCTTCCTGAGGCAGTGACTTTTCGATGATATTGTCGAGGCCCTGCTGGCGGAATTGAGAGCGCAGCTCAGCCGCGAGGTTGTGGTATTGTTGTGGTGAGCTGGGCTCTACCTGGAGCCAGGCGCGGAGCTCGTCGCCATTCTGAGAGCGGATGAAATTATAGATTTGAGTGAGGAAGTCGAGAACTAGAGGCATTGTAAAGGGTTGGGGTGTAGTGAGAAAGGCGGTGGTAAAGATGTAAGGTCAATCGAGATAGGTCTGGGCTGGAAAACATGTTGGCTCCACTGTCGCAGCCAGGTAAACAATAGAAGGACCATTGGCAACGATGAGCACATACTAAACATACAGTTTGTGACAGATACGGATATCAACCTACATAGTAATCATGAGTCTGATCAATGATGCAGGAAGGGATATGTTACCAAAGAATTGCTTTAAAGCTCAAGGATAATTTAACAAGAAGTTGACGAAGTGCCCGCATAAACCGAGCTTCGAAGTACCTTACCCTGCATTAATTGACACTTGGCTAGCTGTCAAACATTGCTCTATACCTATGAACAACTGTACGTAGTGTATACTTATTTGTTCAATTTTTTATTGTTTTTTATACTATGGTATCATAAATAGCATTGCTCGTAATATCTATCAGGCATTTATACGGACTCGACACGCTGCACAACAAGGGCAGTCGCAGCGCCACCACCGTTGCAAATAGCAGCAACACCATACTCACCAGGCTTAAGCTGGTGGAGAAGAGTAGTAAGGATTCGTGAGCCGGAGCTACCAAGAGCATGACCTAGCGAGATGGCGCCTCCCAGGGGGTTGACCTTGGCGCTCTCAAGACCAAGAATCTTAGAGTTGGCCAAGATAACGCTGGCAAACGCCTCGTTGAACTCCCAAATGGCAACTTGATCCTTGGTAATACCAGCACGCTCGAGAGCGATGGGAACAGCCTTGGCGGGAGCGACAGGGAAGTCAATAGGCGCAGTAGCGGCATCAGCGTAACCGCAGATCTTGGCCAAGACTCGGGAGCCTGAACCGTACTGCTGGGCAATAGCCTTGCTTCCTAGGACGAGGGCGCTGGCACCGTCGTTAAGGGTCGAAGAGTTGGCGGCAGTGACAGTGCCGCTTCCATCGCGAACGAAAGCGGGCTTAAGCGTGGGCACCTTGTCGAACTTGACATCCTTGAAACCCTCATCGGTGTCGATAACAGTCTCTCCCTTGCGCGACTTGACAGTGACAGGTGCAATCTCGTCGGCAAACGCCTTCTCCTCCCAAGCCTTTTGGGCGTTGCGGTATGACTGAATAGCGTATTCGTCTTGTTGCTCTCGAGTAATGTTGTGGTTTTTGACTGTGTTCTCGGCGCAGTTGCCCATGTGGAATTGGTCGTACACATCGGTTAAACCATCCTTGATAAGACCATCCTCCATCTTGACGTGGCCAAAGGCAGGAAGACCGCTGGCACGCGACACATAGTATGGGACTTGGGACATGTTCTCCATTCCACCAGCGATCTGAGCCTCAGAGAGACCCATCTGGATGTTCTGAGCAGCCAAAGTAACGGCCTTAAGTCCAGATGCGCAGACCTTGTTAATAGTTGTCGCCTCAACCTCCTTGGGTAGACCAGCAAAGATGGCAGCCTGTCGCGCAGGCGCTTGGCCGACAGAGCCCTGGAGGACGTTGCCCATATACACATCGGTGATCTTCTCGACGGGGACCTTTGACTTTTCTAGGGCGGACTTGATAGCAACAGCGCCAAGCTTGGGAGCCGACACTGACAGGAACGAGCCATTGAACTAGTGATGGTGTTAGCAAGATGTCACAAAGCCAGTTGTTCAGGACGATTTCGTACCTTTGCAGTGGGAGTTCGGGCAGCGCTTAGAATATAGGCATCTTGAAGTTCCTTGCGCAGAGCTGGGCGTGTAGAGAACTGTCGTGCGCCATTCACATGTCCAGCAAGCTGGGCCAGCCGGCCAGCGGATCTAAGTTGTGTAATAGGCATTTCGGGGGAGATTGTGGGGTATCAAGATGTAACAAGACAAAACAGAACGGCACAGTAGAAGAAAATAAAAAGAGGAACACGTTTGAAGAAGAGGTAGAAATCAATTGTATTGGTAGCACGGATATATAGAACAAGACGACCTCGGGTATCGTAATCACGGTCCTCTTCGGCTTTCAGCGGGGGAGGAGGGCCGCCCGAGGTGGTGGGAACAAGCCATCCCGTACCGAATCCGGGGCACAGCAAAGTGACGTCGCTAGAGTTAACAGACCGAGTAATGTTTACCAGGGGTTTGCAGTATAATAGCTGCAAGTATCTTTATACCTGCGTTACCTTTCTTTGTGGACGGTTAACAATTTCTCTCGATTGCCGTCTATGAAGAATATTTGCCAAACAGTAGAAATATCGCTTCGCAGTGTCATTCGGAAATCGGAATTATCGCTGTTTCTAGTTCATCTTCAAGGAGAGAGCGGCCTTCGTCTTCCGCGACCATGTGAAAGTTCCCGGAACTAATGGAAACAGATCTTCTGTCTGAGATGAGCCTCTGATTGAACTGACCACGTGATCAGCTGGAGCTGATAGAGGGTCTCCACGGCAAGTGGAGTGCCTGCAAATCGTGATAGGCCAAATTCAAGACACCCTTGATTGGTAGATTGCCACTAACTTACGGATCCCCTCTGCTTCCCTGCCCATAGAATCATTCAAGTCAAGCGTTTCCCATCGATGACCAATCTCCATCTCCGCCCATCACTACCTTGCACCGCCAAACCCGTCGTTTCCTTTGAGACCGCGAATCGTACATACACAGCGAATCTTTATCCCCAGGGATCTCAGCCATAGTCTTTCACCCAACACCATCCGCCAAGCAATACCTAACTTCCATCTCTACTCACCCCATCCGTCATCATGTCTACCGCTGCTCGCCGCCGTCTCATGCGAGACTTCAAGGTATGATGCGCTTCTGCAAGTACCGTCAAAAGCGTATCTGGCTAACTTTGATCGTAGCGCATGCAAACTGACCCCCCAGCTGGTGTTTCTGCTTCCCCTGTACCAGACAATGTCATGACCTGGTTCGTACGCTCTGTTCGACTTTGTCGACACTGAATACTAACCCGACACCTTGTAGGAACGCCGTGATTATCGGCCCTGCTGACACCCCATTCGAAGACGGCACCTTTCGACTGGTGATGCAGTTCGAAGAACAATACCCAAACAAGCCTCCTCAAGTCAAGTTCATCAGCGAGATGTTCCACCCCAACGTTTACGCCACGGGAGAGCTCTGCCTCGATATTCTTCAGAACCGATGGAGTCCCACTTACGATGTCGCCGCCGTCTTGACTAGTATCCAAAGGTGAGGAGAAATAGTACAATACGGACGGGCATAGTCTGACCATGTCTAGTTTACTCAACGACCCCAACACTGGTTCACCTGCGAATGTCGAAGCCTCCAACCTATACAAGGACAACAGGAAGGAATACACTAAGCGCGTTAGGGAGACGGTGGAGAAGAGCTGGGAAGATTGAGCAAAGAACGATCCTTGAAGGACACGGAACGGTATGCCAACGTCGATTTGTCCACTAAAGCATGGGTCAGGTTGCTCTCAGTATGCTCTGTAGCTTGGAGCATCATCGTCTAAGAGTTCAGGCATGTATGTAAATGGCGTTTTTGGTGCGTTGGAGTTGGACTGAACTGCATTCGGGGCGTTGCGAGCGTCCAGGAAGTCCCCGAGAACGTTAGCTTATGATATCACGCGCGTCATCATGAAGAGGAGTTTTATGTTTCTTCATGTTTAATCGTACATCTGTGAAGTATGCCTTGGTGAAACCAATGAAACCGACCAATGATTTTGTGATGAGCCGAACAAGTTGTACTATTGCGTGTATACCTGTAGGAAGCAGGAATGGTGATTCACCCGTCATTTCTATGTTAAATGAACTTTATGCACCTACTTTGTGAGTTTCAGTGCCCTTGAATTACCCATATGCACATTATCGAAGCATTGTGGTATTAACAATTGTCAATTTATGCGTTGGAAATGATGCCAAAGATCGGCCTTGGGGCATTTACCATAATAGGCAGTCTGTTGACTGCTCCCCTACTAACAATTCGTCCCTCATGAACCCCTCCACACAGTAACCCAACGGTTCAAGAACCCCGAGTTTTCTCCAACTTGCGTTCATTTGACAAAGATAGAACAGAACCTCAGGCGGCATTTTGGACGGGCAGAAGCACATGTATGGAATCCATCTGAACAACGGAACTTAAGTTTAAGGCCGCAGAGGCCTAATTTCTTAGGGGTGAGTCCCCTAAATTCTAGGCCATACCCCCTGGGCAGCTCTGACACTGGTGTCCCCTCCCCGTTTCGGCCCCTCTTGGCGCGCGTTCTCTACGATTTGAGCCTATCATCTTCATCATAACCCACCGCCTCTGGTTGCCAACAACACGACGTTGAGTTAGGCTGTTGATTTGTTGTTACTCATATCGCATCGTCGATACATTACCGCCCATTCATGCCTTTTGTTGTTGACGATCGTAGGATCAGTCAAATCACACTTATCCTAACAACAGTATCGTGCATTTTAACCCCCCGTCGCTGCAGCGAACCGAGCTGAAACCCTGTAATCCTGGCCTGGCCTCGATCTGCCACTTTTCTCCTCAGACACATCCACCGACCTCACCTCTCTTTGTCTCGAGGCCGTCGTCTTCCCCTCCTCTCGCCGCCATTCTGTGGCTCGTTTGCAACAAATCCACGGCCCGCATCTTCTGCGACCCCCCTCACCCCCCTGAAGGGTTCGCTTCAGAGCAACCAACGATCGATTCCCGACTTTTTCCCCCTTAGGACGACAGCGCTGCGGCCGATGATAACGTTTGTTGCGTGACACACAGCCCGCGTTCAACATGTCGTCCGCAAATAGTATCAAGGTTGTCGCCAGGTTCCGACCTCAGAACAGGGTCGAGCTTGAGTCGGGTGGAAAGCCCATCGTCGCTTTCAATGGCGAAGATACCTGTAGTATTAACGTATGTCGCACCATTTGCATAGAGAGAAAGTGACATACGGTGAAGCTTCATGGCTAATTTACTCTGCAGTCCAAGGATGCGCAAGGCAGCTTCACCTTTGACCGGGTCTTTGACATGGGATGCAAACAGCAAGATATCTTTGACTTCTCCATTCGATCCACCGTCGACGATATTCTCAATGGATACAACGGTACAGTTTTCGCTTACGGCCAGACCGGTGCCGGTAAGTCGTATACCATGATGGGTACCAACATCGACGACGACGAGGGCCGAGGTGTTATTCCCCGTATCGTTGAGCAAATCTTTGCCAGCATCATGTCGAGTCCCGGCACTATCGAGTACACGGTCCGAGTCAGCTATATGGAAATTTACATGGAGAGGATTCGGGATTTGCTCCAGCCCCAGAACGACAACTTGCCCGTCCACGAGGAGAAAAACCGCGGTGTCTACGTCAAGGATCTTTTGGAAATCTACGTCTCTAGCGTTCAGGAAGTGTACGAAGTCATGAGGCGAGGTGGAAATGCCCGAGCAGTTGCTGCCACCAACATGAACCAGGAATCTTCGCGATCACACTCTATTTTCGTCATCACCATTACACAAAAGAATGTCGAGACCGGATCAGCGAAGAGCGGACAGCTGTTCCTTGTTGATTTGGCTGGTAGTGAAAAGGTTGGCAAGACCGGTGCCAGTGGACAGACCCTCGAGGAAGCCAAAAAGATCAACAAGAGTTTGAGTGCTCTAGGAATGGTCATCAACGCCTTGACTGACGGCAAATCCTCACATATCCCTTATCGAGACTCCAAGTTGACCCGTATTCTTCAAGAATCCCTTGGTGGTAACAGTCGGACAACTCTCATCATCAATTGTTCTCCCAGTAGTTACAACGATGTCGAAACTTTGGGCACGTTGCGATTTGGTATGCGAGCCAAGTCTATCAAGAACAAGGCCAAGGTCAACGCCGAGCTTAGCCCTGCCGAACTCAAGTCTCTGCTTAAGAAAGCGCAAGGACAGGTCACCAATTTCGAGAGCTACATCTCTAACCTCGAGGGCGAGATTCAGATGTGGCGTTCCGGTGAAGCAGTGCCTAAGGAGAAATGGGCCACACCCATTGCTTCCACCGACGTCGTTGCTAGAACCAAGGCTGACGCCAGGACGTCTACCCGACCTTCTACTCCTTCATTAATATCAGATAGCCGATCCGAGACGCCTGCGATATCCGAACGTGCTGGCACTCCTAGTCTACCGCTGGACAAGGACGAGAGGGAGGAGTTTCTACGACGGGAGAATGAACTGCAGGATCAGATTTCGGAGAAGGAGTCTCAAACCGTTGCGGCTGAGAAGCAGCTTCGGGAGACCAAGGAGGAGCTGGCCTACCTCAAGGATCATGACAGCAAAGTTGGCAAGGAGAACGAGAAGCTTACTACCGAGGTTAACGAATTCAAGATGCAACTCGAAAGACTCACTTTCGAGAGCAAGGAGGCTCAGATCACCATGGATGCACTAAAGGAAGCCAACTCGGAGCTTACCACCGAACTCGACGATATGAAGCAGCAGCTTCTTGATGTCAAGATGAGCGCCAAGGAAAATGGTGCTGCTCTCGACGAAAAGGAGAAGAGGAAGGCTGAGAAGATGGCCAAGATGATGGCTGGCTTCGACTTGGGCGGTGAGGTATTTAGTGAGAACGAGCGCCATATCGCGGAGACTATCGAGAAGGTCGACTCGCTTCACGAGCTCAGCGCAACCGGCGACAACATTGCACCCGACGAGTTTAAGGCACTCCGAGCTCGATTGGTGGAGACGCAGGGTATTGTTCGACAAGCTGAGCTGTCCATGTACAGCTCCACCTCCAGCGATGCCGACTCAAGACGACGACAAGAGCTTGAGACTCGTCTCGAGGCCGTCCAGGCCGAGTACGAAGAGATCCTTACCCGCAACCTCGGCCCCGAGGATGTTGAGGAGGTCAAGGCCCGATTAGAGAACGCCTTTGCCAACCGACAGACTGCCCAGTCTGCATTCGTCGACGAACTCAAGGCCGACATTGCCCAAAAGGCAGCTGAGAACACAAGAATGAAGACGCTGATTGACGATCTTCAACAGCGGGTCAAGGCTGGCGCCACCGCGCCCATGGCTAACGGCAAGACGATCCAGCAGCAGATTGCCGAGTTTGACGTCATGAAGAAGAGTCTCATGCGCGACCTTCAGAACCGATGCGAGCGTGTGGTAGAGCTCGAGATCTCTCTGGATGAGACACGAGAGCAGTATAACAACGTTCTCCGATCGTCAAACAACAGGGCGCAACAGAAGAAGATGGCGTTCCTCGAGAGGAACCTGGAGCAGCTGACCCAAGTTCAACGCCAGCTAGTCGAGCAGAACTCAGCGCTCAAGAAGGAGGTTGCTATCGCTGAGCGCAAGCTCATTGCCCGAAATGAGCGTATCCAGAGCCTGGAGAGCCTGCTACAGGATAGCCAGGAGAAGATGGCTGCTGCGAACCACAAGTATGTGTACCCGTATGATGCCCCTTATGTGAAACTCTGCTAACAGAAATTCCAGGTTCGAGGTTCAGCTAGCTGCTGTCAAGGAGCGTCTTGAGCTTGCCAAGGCCGGCAGCACTCGTGGTCTTAACTCGCCAGGTGGCTTTAGCTTCGCGAACGCTGGCAGCAGGATCGCTAAGCCTCTCCGTGGAGGTGGCGGCAGCAATGACGCTGCCCCCATTCCTACGATCCAGAACCTTCAGGGCCAGAGCGAGGGAAACACCAGCAGCGGTAGCAGCAGCAAGCGTGCCAGTTGGTTTTTCACCAAGTCATAGACGTAATGAGGGAAAGATAAAATAAAGAAAAAGAGCTCGCTGCTTTTTTGCTTTTGGGCACGGCGTTGCGAGCAGATTCTGTTAGACACATATATTCACGCACCCCCGTTCATTCCCCCCTTTTCCCAACTCAACGATGCCCCGTTTGTTCAACAGAGTTTTCCACTTTGCACACATTTTTGCTTCTCCCATGCTGTTGCATTCTACTCGTCCCCGATTTCTGTTTTGTTTCTGATTCTATAAGAAGGCGATAGAGAGGGTGGGGCGGCTACGATGATTTGGATTTACGATAGGCATCGCAATGGGACCATGAATGAACGGATGGGTACTTATAAGGCTGGTGCATTGGGCGCGAGAGATGAGATGAGAGTTCAGTTGCAGTGGAGGAAACTTGTATAAGTCTTGTCACGATCACGTACGTAGTTAAGGCACGAGGTTCAAGATAGTCGATGAATTGAGGTACTAACAATCTATATTTGATCTCTCTTGTAAAAATAAAAAAGCTGGATAACCGAGCGGAATGTTTGGAGCGAGCCCTTGACAGTTTGTCCTAGTGACATGTTTTGACTAAGTATAACTATAGGTGAATGCTCAAGACAGTTCTTCCGTGAAAGTTCGTGGCAATTGCTGTTGATTTACATCTTCATGTCCCCGTCACTGGGGCCGTCTCCGCTTGAGGCACTCAGGGAGGCCAGGAGGATGATCTGGGGAATTATGACAACCATCAGGGCAAAGATGGAGGCAAAAGAGACAGCAACGACCTTGAGCTCGAGCATGACAATGCGCTTCCAGGCAGACTTGGAGAAGCTGGACCAAGCGTCACGAACAGTGGCATAACCCCGACCACCAACAACGACAGGCTCGATGCGGCCATTGAAAGAGCGGTCGAAGGGAATGATGGTGTCGGCGTCGGCGGGAAGGAGAGAGGCCTGGACACGAATGAGAACAACATAGGCAGGAATTTGGACGGCGATCTGGAGGAAGAGAGCCAGGATCATGATGCCCCAAACGCTGCCTTCGCTACCGTCGAACTGGGGAATTTCTTGGCCATCAGTGCCCATGGCGTAGAATGTGCTGATGCCACCGAGGGTGACGATTTGAGAAGCAGCCCAGAAGATGACGATGGGCCTCCAGGTGGCGAGGAAAGTGGACTTGAAAGCAGGGATTCGGCTGTACCATCTTTCCTGGGACTCGGGCGTAATGACAATGTGAACCCAAGCGGTGCTGAGCTGGACACAGATAAGAGAGCTGAGCAAGTGGGCGATAATAAACGAATAAGGAGTAATGTGGTAAAGTGCAGTGTTGATGACTGCGAGAGCGAGAGCTTGGAGAGCATGCATGAAGATGCCACGGTACATAGCTCGGAAGCCACCAGTAGATCGAAGGAGGCTGAATGTAGCACGGAAAGACGAGGTAATGGGCTTGCCCTGGCCGGCAACGGGAGCAGAAGGAGCTCCGGTAGGCTTGGTCATGTCGTCGTTGGCGGCGAGATGCTCGACAGCGAGAGGAGCGTAAGCAGGAGGCTTCTCATCTTCGACGATGGCGAGAACGGGGAAGACCTTTTCGAAAGTGTACGAGCACTAAGCGTATGTTAGTGAGAGAAGTAGATATATGATCACGGTGGGACTTACGAGGGCAAAGACTGGGATAAAGAGAAGGAAGTTGGCCAAAAAGACGTAGAAAGACCAGTCAGGAAGCTGGTTAATCTCATGGCCAAGATTTGGCTTGGGCACGTTATCGCGCCGCATGAGCGACATGGCCGTCTCGGAAATCATGGTGAGTGACTACAAGAGATGATTGAATATGAAAGACTTCAAGTTGTGTTGAGGTTTTGATAGAAAGAAAGAAGGGAAAAAAGAATCCTCAATCAAAGTTGATGGAAGAGGAGGAAGGGATGGGTTGATCTTAATGGAATGAGAAGATGCTGGGGTCTAAGTTGTCAGCTGCGCGTACTGAAACTAAAACTAATTTAGGCACCCGATCCAGCCCATGACGGAGGCTAGGAGGCCAAAGGGCCCCCAACTGGGGGGCGAAAAGGATGATGCACAGCCCCCTGGTTTATTGATCTGCAGAAGGAGGTACAAGTCCTACATGATTATCAATTATGATTTAAACATGGAAGTGCATGCTATACGCACAAAGTATTGATATTTTGAATTTATATACTTTGATTACATAGTACGTCTAAAGTAATGGTATTCTTGTTATATATGTAGTTGATCAATCTACTTCGCAGTCAGTGGTTGCCGGATTAGGCAATAACATTTACTTCCACACGTAATACACGTAATCACCACAACCAAGACTTTGATGGGGGGGTCTTCTCAAAGTTAATTGATCAGGGCGATTTCGTCACAAAAGATAGGGCTCTGTGAGCAACCTTATTCTCATACAATACAAAAGCACTGCTAAGCAGCCCACTCATTAAAATATGCATTCTCTCTGATTCTGATCGGGCACTCAACGAGGCAATATGACATCGCCATCTTTGAGATGTGATTTGCTTTATTTCAGATCTTGTGTTGGCTGACAAGGCGTTCTTATTGACTATTAAATGATAGACATACAGAGAGGCGTATTCTTGGCATTCTCAAGGATGGACCCCTGGAACTAGGCAGTCTCTGCCTCTGAAAGTCACAGGTTTTTAGGTGATTCTAACTCGGACCAATTCTCCAACATCTGAAACCTTGAGAAGACCTAACATGTGATCATATTCCATTCGCATTAGATAAATAGGACATGAAACAAAGGTATTCATGCTGTAAGGTCATCCGTATTATCTGTGTCTTGTGTTACACTAAAGTAAAGAATGCCCCGCAATCATGACCTTCTAAAAACCGACGTCACTGGCTGCATTCAGTGGAACAGCTTCTCAACAACTCGTTGGCCGGATCAACCTACGGACCTTGTACACTTCTGAATGCCCTCACTCCCACTCTTGAATCTCTACAGTATATATAATGCCCGCCCCCGAGATACCCAACCTCCTCAGTTCTCTTCGAAGCGCTCGCGGAGGTCGAGGCCGTGGAAGAGGGAGAGGCGGCCATGCCTCCTCATCCGCTACTCACGACTCCACCATTCAAGGCACTGATACAGATGCCTCCGTCTCGAGACTAAGCGCCGTCGATCTTGGATATCTGGATGATCCTTATGCTCAGTATTTTGTCCAGAGCTCTGCTGGCCCAGCAGCTAGACGACTGCCTATCATTAACAGAGGTGCGCTGGCTTGAGCCTTCCATCATGACATGTATCTTTACTGAACCAACTTTGTGTAGGAACATACACAAGAACAATTTCTCTTGATACTCTTATCGAATCATTTCTCAGTGCGGATCAAGGTGTTGAGTCAGGTTCTACACCGAAACAAATTGTTTCGCTAGGCGCTGGTACTGACACACGACCCTTTCGACTATTCGCTTCCAAGGCTCGCCCTGGATTGGTCTATCATGAGCTTGACTTTGAAGTCGTGACATCAAAGAAGCTACGGACTGTTCAAGCTGTCCCCGCGCTAAGAAATATCTTAACAAATGTTGCACAACTAACAGAGCATTCCTGGTCGAGTACACCTGCGGGAGGTGAATACTATTGTCATGGTCAAGACTTGCGTAACTTTTCTCTGTCCAGGGCTTCAAATGAGGATCATGATACCCAAGAAACACCACAGGAAAAATCTGAGATTACTCTCCCCGGCCTTCGCACCGACATCCCCACGCTGCTCTTGTCGGAGTGCTGCCTCTGCTATCTCAACGGCACCGAAGCCTTAGACGTGCTCAACTTCTTCACATCCCGTATACAAAACCTCGCAACCGTTATCTACGAGCCCATCCGCCCAGATGACGCATTTGGCAAGATGATGGTGTCAAATCTCGCAGCGCGACGCATAGAGATGCCTACGATCAAGATGTACCCAACGCCCGAGGACCAGCGAGCGCGGATGAGCAAGGCCGGTTTTGAGACCGTGCAACATATGACAATTGAAGATATCTGGCAGAACTGGGTATCGCCCGAGGAGAAGCAGCGTGTGGATTACCTGGAGGGGCTAGATGAGGTTGAGGAGTGGAAGTTGTTGGCGGCGCATTATATCGTCGTTTGGGCTTCAAGAGGGAGCGGGTTTGGAAATTGGAGAGGCATTCAGGTGGGGGCTTAGGTAATTGTTTAGATAGCATTTAGATAACATTTAGATAACATTTAGATAACATCAACAAAATCGTCAACATCATGTTCACAGAAGTTGTATAGATTGACCAACACTGTCGGCATGATAAGTCGCGGAACAATATACTTCCTAATTAAGCTTAGCGTATCATCATCGCAGCACGGTCGCGAACCTGGTCCCTCCTACAAGGCAAGGAGACAAACATTATCATCAAGCCCCATGACAGAATAATCATTGTACGACTTCTTATGCTGCCTATGACTCAAACCAAATTCACATGCACTCATAGCTTAATCATTCGTACAATAGCATAAACGGCATTACTAGGGCGCCCTATCAAAGGTAACGCCCTCAAACAAGCTCATCTCACTTGGACTATTGAGTACCAAGACAACAAGCTTTGTCAGTCAACTATAAATTCATTCTGGACTATTGAGTCTCATACACATAGACCATCATCTCAAATCACGACAAAATGGCCGAGGCACGAGACAACAAGGCGTACAAGTATCGCCAGGAAATCAGCCAAATGATGTATGTTTCCGGCGAAACTGCGGAGCCTCCCGTCGAAACTACAAGTATCATCGAAGACATCGTCCGCCAACAAGTAATAGAACTGGTAAGACCTCCCCCCTCTCTTTCACCTGGTCTTCTCTTATCTCGTCTCAGCTCCGAAACTGTACCGAGCTTGCATCGCGTCGCGGCTCAAAATCAATCAGTATCAACGATCTGATCTTCCAGATCCGCCACGACCAGGCAAAGGTTTCTCGTCTGCGCACTTTTTTATCGTGGAAGGACGTCCGCAAGAACGTCAAAGATTCAGACGACAAGGGTGCAGACGCCGACCTCGCAGCTGGCGATGACCCAGTCGCGACGGGCGACAATACCACGGATGAAGCATCCAAGAAGAACAAAAAGGCAAAGGTCGGTCTCCCGTGGGAGCCCTCGTCGTACTACAATGTCGAGGTGCCTGAGCGCGAAGATGAGGAAGATGAGGAAGAGGAAGAGATGAATTACATTACGCTGCAGCGTTTGCGCAAGGCCGATGAGCGCACCAAAGCCATGACTAAAGAAGAGTACGTAACGTGGTCTGAATACCGTCAGGCTTCTTTTACCTACCGAAAGGGTAAGCGATTTCGAGAGTGGGCAGGTTTCGGTATTGTCACCGACAGCAAACCATCAGACGATATTGTCGACATCCTCGGTTTTCTGACTTTTGAAATGGTCCAGACCCTGACCGAGATGGCACTCAAGGTCAAGGAACAAGAGGATCTGGTCCGCGCCCAGAATGGAGGAGACAACGTCGGTACTGCTAAGAAGCGAAAACATGAAGGAGCCTTGTTCGACTTTCCCAGCGAGGGCAAAACGCCAATTGAGCCTCGCCATGTTCAGGAAGGGTCTCGGAGGCTGCAGCAGCGGCCCAAGAAGTCAAGGGCTATGCTCAACGGGACTCGAATTTCACAACACACGCCACTTAACATCTTTTAATGTCCAGTCCATGTGTCTATTGTACTTGGGTTGTTTTGTATGGAGTTTGAGTATAGAGACTGCCAACGCCACGAATCGTCGATTGATAGTTGTGTTATTATAATTATACCACTGTTTGCCCACCGCCTTTCATATACTTGGTCCGCCTCAACTGAGCTGCACCAACACCTGAGCCACAAGTCCTGCTACTATAAAAGTACCTACCCTGCAGTAAAACTCGTATTCGAGAGTGCCATCGCCGCTGACAGTAGCTGGTCGCATTAGTATACCTGATGATGAACAAGGGAAGATTGACACTTACACAGTGCAACTACAGACATGGTAATCGAGCCCATCACGGTAAACCCAGTCTGATCGGGTCTACTGAATTGGATGTAAAAAAACAGGATAGCGCCTACTGCAAGGAATGCGACCACAGCAACTCTGTTGCCGAGCACAATGGCGCAGGATATAAGTCCTATTATACCGCCAAGGATAACACCTAGAAAACGGTTGTTGAAAGAGTCGATAGATGCTCCTCCTGACTCTGCTTCAAAAAGAAGGAGCAGTTGCATGGGAGCCCACACACCACGAATATCTGAGTACTATGCGTTCCATGTGGTAAGTGCCGGCCAGCTAAGGAGAATAATTCCAATTGTGAGTATAGCGGCATAATAGAAGTGGTTCGATTGACTTTGGAGCTTTCTATATGCCGATTCGAAGTTCCGGATTATCGCGAGTACGATAGAAACGGGTGATGGATAACAATGACCTTTAGAGGTATCGAGAGGTCTCGGAAGTTGAGGTATCCATCTGGTAAACCAGTTCCTATTGCGCCTTGTATTCTCAGGTATGCCGTGTCCTGTGGAGGCCATGGGGAGGAAATCTTGACCAGGTGTGATAAACTTGGGGAACATGGTCAGATTGATGAACGACGTGACGCCGGCGCCAACTAAGGTTGGGTACATGACGTTTGTAAGCGCCGATAGCGATACATAGTCTTGCTTTCCGAGCAGTACAATCTGGCAGGCTATGAGTAAGAAAATGACAAACAGCGTGGAGCTGGGGATGGTGGATCTGAGGTAACCATGGAACACTGTAGCTACGGCAAGAAATATACCGCGGACGACATATGCCGCTCTTTTGTTTTCTGACAGACAGAAATTGGATAGCCAGAGGCCGAAGACAGACTAAGAAACACCAACTACTGTGCCCAACAATGTCTTCAGAACAACCGCGAAGCAAAGGTCGGTTCTTTGCGACGGGTGGGCAAATGCGATTAACATCGGGGCGAGGAAGGTGCATGGACCAAGGACGTCCATTGCTGGTTGACTGATGACACAAGCGATGGAAGCAGTAGATGCAAATGACGACTGTGCTGTCTTTATAATGAGTTCTTTGCTGATAGACATGATGGATAGTTATGTTGATGTGTAGTGGTGATGGATGTAGAAGAGAGTGTACAGGTAAGAAAATACTATCTTTATTTTAATATTATAGGTCCTGACCTAAACCGCTTAACTCTTATACAACCTAATGCTTCTTTAAGCGCTACCTTGAATGACTTAGAGCTTTAGGACCGCCGGAGTTGTTCAGCGAAGCCTGTATCGGACCGGCCACTTACACGAGTATCTACCAATCAAAGGCCTCAAACAAATAAGCTTTACCACTTTAACACTAAAAATCAACTACATGGCACAGCCAAACTCAACCAATTCAATCACAGGACATAGAACAAGGCACAAAGGAAGTCAAAACACAGTGATCGTTGATGCGAAATGTGTGAAGGGACCAAGAATTGTTGTCACTTGAGGGCTGATGACTCAACGATATCTATCGTAAGCATCTTTATGATAGGCTTGACAAGAGGCATGCCTTTTGGTCTTCCTCTTCCTACAAGGGCTTTTGCAGTTGGCTGGCTGATGATAGAAGCTATTGCAGCAACACACGCAACTGATGATCCCGCGATGTCTTTGATGACCTTTACCATGGGAATAATAGGTAGAAATATGTCGAGATATATACTGGCGATAAATGTAGAAGAGAGAAATGGATATATCCAGGTTTTATTCAGTGCCAGTGTCGCCAACTCCTCGGAGAGACAACTTCTCTTAGGCTCTGCTTCCTCTGACAGCCGAATTCTGCAGTTAAAGCAGCTAGCCAAACGGCATTCTTATAGTTACAGGGATAGAAATCCCAGTCTATTGGAAAGGCCTTTATCGCTAGTGCGGGATCCCTGGATAGTGATGAGGGCAGGCTTGAGAGTTTGTAGCTCAAGGTCGCCATCGTTATTGCGATAGCGGTCACTGTATTCTGATAAGCTCCGGTATCATAAGTGATCTAGCTGAACGGTCAGAGGTATTTGTGTTACAGTACATATGCGATTGGTTAGCGCTGTAGATTGAAGTGTAGGGACCAAGATTGACTGACTGTCTTGGTATTTAGACGACTTCAAGGGTCTTTGACGAACTTAGTGAACCGATAGTTGCAGGACGAAGAAAAGACCACTGTAGGTACAGCCCAGCATTAGTTTGTTCCATCAGTAAAAGCCCTTATAGATACCGGTTATTGCTGTGTTGACAGTCAGATAGCTGCTCTGTCATGTACGTATTCTTGTTGGGAAAGTTTGTTTCGCAACCGTCTTCATAATGGGCGCGATAAATAAAGATGGATGTGGACGAAATAAATATATTTGCTTTAAAAACTCAATTCGGGGCCGCTTCAGTGACCAGTTATCTAGAGTATTAAGCTACAAAGCTATTGCATCATGAAATACTCATTCTGCAATTCTTCATATTCAGGTAATTGTCAACTGCCTACTAATGTAGCGCCTTTAGCACCTCTCAGGCATATGTGGCACCTGTGGCACCCGTGCGCGGCCGTGCTTTTGTGTGGCACGGTCACAGTGGGTTCAGAAAAGTTCCATGGCCTCCGAGAGGGTACAAAAACAAACAGCCTGAGAAGCTTCATTTATGAAGCACAAGCTGACTTACTAATTATGTCCCTTACCTTTCTCGCGCCAACCAATCCTTCCATACCCCAGTGCCTGTGTTCCGCGACAGCCTCCTAACAACGACAGCTTATCCATGCCACCTTAACTATCGCAATCCTCTACTTTCTCAAACAACCCCCGTTTTAAACCTTTAGCCTTGCTTAATCAATATGCTTTCTTTTATCCTCATTCAAAACCGACAGTAAGTTTCAATGCGCTCAATCGTAACTCGTTGTTTTCGTACTAACGTTCCTCAGGGGCAAGACTCGTCTCGCCAAATGGTATGCCCCTTTTAGTGACGAGCAAAAGATCAAGCTCAAGGGCGAAGTCCACCGTCTCGTTGCGCCCCGCGATCAAAAATACCAGTCCAACTTTGTCGAGTTCCGCAACAACAAGATCGTCTACCGCCGCTACGCCGGTCTCTTCTTCTGCGCCTGCGTCGACACAAACGATAACGAGCTGGCATTCCTCGAGGCTATTCACTTCTTCGTCGAAGTTCTCGATGCCTTTTTCGGAAATGTCTGCGAGCTTGACCTTGTCTTCAACTTCTACAAGGTCTATGCCATCCTCGACGAGGTGTTCCTAGCGGGCGAGATCGAAGAGACGAGTAAGCAGGTTGTGCTCACGCGGTTGGAGCATCTCGACAAATTAGAATAAACCGCGCATCCAACGTTTGAAGGCTCGAAGAAATATGAGAATAACCAAGGCCTTTTTTCTTTCTTTTTTTTTCCCCCGCATATCAGAGCTGTAATTTGTATCTAATATCATAAGGAGGCAGGTTGGAGTTGAGGCGTTTAGTGGAGGCATCCACAGTATCAAGAATATACCATTGCTGTTGTTTCTGCTTGCTGCAATGGTTCTCTACTATCAGATGGTCATTTGGAAACCACATCTTCCCATATGTTTGACTCAGAGGTTGGCTGCAAATCTTCGTTCTGGTCATTGAATTGCCCAGACCCGCCGTGGGAAGCGGAAGTTGACTATCAAATTGTTGCCAGTGACTGATAAGAAAGAGAGCCCCTCGACCTCTATTGTATGGAAAATGAGAGTTATCAATAAATCGGCGTTGTACGTGGCGACACTTGTCAGTGCGATAACGATCTACACAGTACCATGTCAAGCTCAAAGTCGACATCTGAATCCATATGATTTCTACTACAAGCTCGACATAATGAATTGACAAACACCTTTAAACTCCACATATCACGCAGTATCCATGAACAACTTAAACTCATCTCTATCAATCAATCACCTCTTCTTCAAAGCCGCAAACCTTCTCTCCAGGTCCCCAAGGTCAGGAATTGACCCATCGGGCTCACTCTTTCGCGATGCCGCCTCCATCTTCTTGCTCGGTTTCAACTCGACAGATCCCAGCGTCACCTTGGGATGTATGTTGTCAGTCGTCATCCTTGGTGGTGTCACCGTTAATGGACTCGTGGGACCTCTAGCGGCTAATTTCTTGACGGGCGTGTTCAAGACTGAATCTTTGGAGTCTGCGGTGAGGGGTATAGCCCTTTGCTTCTGTCCACCAGATGGTTCGTCCTCATCGTCGTCGAGTAACTCCGGGGGTGGCGACACAACCTCTCGCTTGGGCCAGTCGACGCCATAAGCCCTGGCGATTTCCTCCAGATAACCAACGACGAGCTCTTCTCTGGGGGGCGTGACGCTGAGCTTCTTGACAACTTTCTCATTGACCTTTTTATCCGCGTTCTCCGTTGCCGCAAGAACATACTCTTTCCCGTACTTCTCCGCCAAAAGTGTCCTCACAGTTCCGAGCTCTTTAATTTCCGTCTTGGGCGCAGCGTAAATTAAACTCTGAATCGCCTCCTCCAGTCCGGGGTCAACGGTATGTGCCTCTAGCAGTCCGGATCGCGCAAGCAGGAGTTCGCAATAGAGTTCGAGGATTTCGTGAAGCTCGGAAGTGATGTCGGATCGGATGATATTCTCAACCCGGATGCGGGCTGAGTCCTCCTTGCCAGCCTCAAGGAGTTGGGCCATGGCTCTCCGCGCGGTCTTTCCGAGCTGCTCGTCTCGTTGCTGCACCATGCGTAGGCGCGCAATGGTCAGCTTGAGCTGAACCTTGAGCTTTGTCTATTGAGTTGAGCGCGCATATTAGTTACGGTACTGGATCAGCTGTGTGCGACTGGACCGGCGCATCATGGCGGGGAAGCGCAGGTATCTGGGGAGGGGCATCTTACTATGAGACTGGCACTAGGCGGCATGATGGCTAGATGGGGAATTGTAAAGACTGGTTTATGAGGATTGAACGAGAAAAATATCTTTGATAGAGAAAGAGGGCGAGGAGATGCAGGTATAGTAAAAGATAGTGGAGGGGTAGGATGGAATAGGCAGACAAAGCTGTACCCAACTATACATAACTGCCTTGCGACGGAACTCAGACGCCCAGACGCTATGAGCTCATCCTCACTGGGGAAGTCTTGAGCCCCACCACAGCTTCATCCGGATCAGGCCGACCCTTACTAGTAGGTATGTATCTCAGTATCAGAGACGAAATTAGTAGGTCACTTTATACTATTTAAGTTGTGATGGGTTACAAAATAAAACAAAAAAGGTCTACTCTGTTCATGCAGAGTGATTGTGAAATTGTTTAACATTGACAGACATCCAGTCCATCCATATAAGTGTACAGCTCTCTTATGAATCAAGTAAAATGGCCCCTTCTTAAGGGCTGTCTCACAGCTCCAGACGACCCTGACAACGGAATCCTTCATCTCCATATAACGCCGTATCCTAATTCTATCATTCCCTTTGTAATCCTGTTTGATACACTCCCTTTTCTGTTGGGGATACGCAGCTCTGTGCAGGCAGATGCTTACTCCATATCGGCATCTTCGGCGACTGGGGCTACGCCATCGATCGCCTCGCCCTTGAACACATCGCTGCCTTCATATGTGACTCGGCGCCATCCGCAGGCCTCCTTGTCGTCCTTAATCCACTCCATTGTAGGGAAGTAGTGGTCGTTCTTCTTCATAGTGATCACCCATGGAACATTGTCAAATGTCACAGCCTTGAGACGGAAGTCTGTTTCTGGTTAGCTTGACTATACTTTGGTATCGGTATGGAAAGGTTGACTTACAGGTGTTGTCCGGAATCTCTCGGGTTGCAGCAATGAAAGAGGGAATATCAGGCGTGGGAGTACCGTTGACATGAGTGATGAAGTTGGTTGGTGCAACTCCATACTGGTAGGCAGGAGAACCTCTAATTCGACTAGACACATACACCTCACTGTGTAGCTTGCTGATCTGTTGTCGAACAGCTTGATGGGGTCTGTGAAGGATAGCGCCACAGAACGAAACTGCATGATCCGTCTCCATATCGTCTGCAGAAACAGTAGGGATTTGAAGGTGCATCTCCTCGCATTCGCGGACGATAACGACATCGAGCAATTCATGTGAGTACATCAAATCGAAATCCGAGATGGTAGTGCAGATCTTGCCATTTAGAGTGAGAATGATATCTCCTTCAAGTAGGGATACCGGCTGGTTGACGCGCTCGAATGTTCGCTTGCTAACCATGAAGAGCTGATGGTGGGATCTGTTGGCCTGGGTGACCTTTTTGATCCATTCATCTGAAACACCCATGACCGATGCTTGGGACATCTGAACGGATCTAAACTCAACCGACATGATGCGGAGTTTGGGGTTGGCGCCCTTCTGAACCGACTCTACCACAGGGAGCAGAGTCTTGGTGCCAAGGCCGAGATAGTACTCTTCGTCCCGCGAGCTATGTGGGTTGCGCTCTCCAAGATAGCTAAGCCATAGAGCTTGGACAGTGCCATCGGGCGCGACAAGAACACCGCTGTTGCAAGTCGAGCCGAGGTTGCTATCAATCGTGATGGCATCGACGTTGACGGCGCGGTAGCGGGGAGCGCCAGAGTTGGCGGGAATCGCTACCGCTGTTATCTCGGTGACACTGGTAGAGCCATGTACAACGCGCCCAATCCTGTTGTAACCCAAAAAGTAGGTCTTGGCGCCTTGAGTGAGGACCTCGTTACTCAATCTGGCGCTCTTGACAGGGGCATCCACGAGAGATGGGTCATACTGGATGATGGCGTAGTTCTGGAGGGGGTGTAGGAAAACTACTTTGCCCTCAACAATGATAGAATCAGCGATAGTGACAGTAATGTCACAAAGATCGTAAGGGACAATAGCCCTGGAGATCAAGACCAGACCCTTCTCTGCATCAATCACCAGACCCATGCCCCAACGACGGTTCTTGGGGAAACCGTCAAGCTTCAAGGGCATGGTGCAGTTGATGTGGACGAAGCTGTGAATCAGGTTTGCGATGCCAGGGTGTGGCATGTGCTCCAGCTCGATGAAGGAGGCAGATCTTCGAGTAGGTGGAACAGGAGGTAGAGGATCTCCGAGGTCAGTAAAGTCCCAGACGCCAGACTCGTCATTTCGGACAGCGAGCTTCATCTTTGACGCCCAATGACGGTCAATGTAGGCAACAGTGGTATTGAGAGTGTGCAGATCACGAAGGTGCTTGTAAGTGACAACAACTCTGGCGCGATCTGGAATGGCCTTCATCACTTGGATGAATGTGTCAAGGTCTGGCACTTTTTTGTGGTCGATTGTTTGGACAATCCAACCATTATCCGTATTATCAAATCGGAAAGATCCAGCTGACTCGCATACATAGACACCCTTGACAGCGACGGCATAAAGTCTCGCTTGCTGGTAGGACAAATCGTGGAAGCTGGCACCCGCCACTGAAACAAAACGGTCAGGGGTGATCTTGTGGAGATCTCCGACCTCAAGCTCTACCTCCACGTCCTCCCCACCACGTTGGAGGTGCAGCTTGATGGTGTTACCAACATTGGAGTCCAAAAAGTCGTCAAGCCTGATAAACTGAGTGATAAGTTCGCCGTTCACCTTGACCAGGACGTCTCCCTCCTCAATCTTCTTGTCTGAAGGGCCCTGGGGAAGGACAATCTCGGCTACCAGCATATTGGTCTCCTCTGGAAATTGCTTGCGCATGGCCGCCTCCCATTCAGGGCTCAATCCCAGTCTGCGGCACTCGTCAAATGGCTTGAGAAGGAATTGGCATTGAATGTCACCGCGTGTGACAGGCTTGCCATTCTGAATACATTGAAGAGCACGCAGTGGTCTATCCAATGGAAGGAAATAGTCTGTTGAAGCTCCATCCGAGCGACCACCAGCTTGAAGCGCGACAGCGCATCCATCCTTGTTCACGACGGGACTTCCAGAACTTCCTCCACTGGCGGCGGCGTTGGCCTGGTAGTAACACGTGTTGAAGTCGCTGTAGCCTTCGCCGTATTCGGGTGCATTTCGATCTAGACGGGAAATAATGCCGGAAAGAATACTGAGCTTTTCGCCGGCATCGTTACCCACGACTCGGATTTCGGTACCAACTGAGAATATGTTAGCAATGAGCGGGTGATTTTGGTGTTTCGGGGGAGCGCATGCCCTTTGCGAGGTCGGGTCGCAATTCAAGGCCGTCGATGTGCATGTACTTGATCGCCTTGGGGTCGTAACGAAGAATTCCGAAATCGTGAACGGGATCGCGGTAGACGGGATAGCAGTCGACTTCCTCGTGGTTGTCAAAGACACAGTGGCCCCAGAAGGGTCCAGCACCAACAACGTGACGGTTGGTGAGGATGTATCTAGACAGTCGTTAGCATTACCCTTGAAGGATGGCAGAGGATAAAGCACACCCTCGTTCAGAATCAACAACATATCCGGTGGCTTCACTAGTCAAAGCGGCATCGGTATCGAAGGAGCAAGTCTGGCAGAATCGAATCGCGACAACGTTGCGCACGACCTTTTGAATCGTGTCCTGCCACTCGCCTAAGCTTCCTGGTGTCCCAATGTACATAGCATGAGGATGAAGGTCGTCGCTTATTTCGGACTGGCCATCAAAGTCGACAATGTCGGGAGTGTTGTCGTTGGGAGAGTGCTTGCCGTTGATGGCTCGTTTGGCGGGGGGAGGCAGGTCGGGCGAGCCAGGGGCCTTTCTCTTGGCCCTTGGTGAAGAAGCGGCGCCGTTCATGATTTTGGATTGTTGGGGTCGCGATGGATGTGAGAAGACGGTCGTGAAGGAATCACGGGGGTTGTTTTGTTTGCAAAAGGGGATCGAAGAAACAGCGTCAGAGACAGCAGCAAACCAGGATCGCAAGCAGTGACAAACGGGAGTGAAACAACAGCACGGGTAGTGACAGCGCACCCAGGATAGAATGGGCAATGCTGTAGATTAAGTAGAGTAAAGTATAGTATAAGGAAAAAGGGCGAATATGATTAAGAAAAAAGGCCCATGTGATGACGAAGCCAGGTTTGAGATCTGGGGAAAAATAAAATTTATGATGGCACACTCTTTGGATGAAGTTGGCCTATTGCTGGTGGATCAGCTGGAGCGGTAGTTTGGTAGGCTACAGGGGAAATGGTACCCTCGAAACCCGCTAAAGCAGACACCGTCATTCCCGCGACGCTCTGACCCGCCACTGTGCATAAGTTATGCAACAGTCGACCTCTCCCCGCCTTGTCCGTCCCGACAAGACATGAAGATGGTGTGCCACAACTTTGCGATTACAACGACAGATGACCAGTCAACTGGGGCTCTGAGATGGTGGGCGATTGAGACTTTTGTGCCTATTTTGACCCCGGCACGTCCTATTCTAGAGCCTCGATGCATGTCTCATTCTGTCTCTCATACAATGCAACACATCTTGTCTTATACGCAACCCAACGGCTGACCCTCTTCGCTAATCCAAGATAACATTGTACTTCTTCTGTCAATGCTGTGTTCCTCGTGCAACAAAGACTACATCATCTCAAAGGGTCGCTCCTCGATCCACGAAGCCATACTACGTGCTCTATGCAGAGAAACACACAAAAGCAACCGCTGCCGTCCGAGACACGGAAGAAAACGTGGTTTGTTCCCAACCCACAGGATCAGCATCAGCATTAGGATCCCGTGTCATCTCACTATATCGTTGTTACACTACCTTCCGATCCAGGTGACCGCCACTCGTGCAATACTACATGCATATCATGCAACCCCTCCAGGCCCCTCTCTTCTTCTTGAATGCATCGACTCGAGCACTCCATCTATCGCTGCTGCTTGTTGCTTCTCCGCAGATAGGCAAGCCGGCCAGTGGACGAGATGGCCTCGTCGTTCCTTCACAAACAAGCTGTACAGGACCCATGCGAACAAGACCGCCGTGACGCTTAGCGCCGTCGGGTTGTGGAACTGACTGGGCGACGAGAATACTATGGTCGACATGTATGCACACATCTCGAACACATGTTGCCAGCTGGCTTCCACAGCAGAAAAGGCTCCTCGATTTCGCGCTTCGACTTCCTGCATCATGCATGGTTAACGAGTTCTGCGTCAACAAGCCTGAACACACGTACCTCTTGGATGATGACCTGTGCCGAGAGATCGACGCCCCAAAGTCCGACACGACTGAGCATGGAGCTGCCCACGAGTGCCAGAGTTGAGATGAGGACGTTATCGGCATACCGCCAGAATATTGATACGCCTATCGATAAACATCCCAATTGCCAACTCAGGAACCAAAGCCCTGCACGAACCGGACCAATCTTCTTCATTAGCCATGGCCCAATCCAAGTAGCCAGAACCTCGAAGGCTACCGAGATTGTTCTCATTGCGGCAATTTGAGATGAGTTGTATCCGCTTGACAAAAGATAAGTAACCATGACTCCGCCAAAGGATAGAACCGTGCAGTAAAGAAGGGCCACTGCGAAAGAGGGAAAGAAGACGGGGTGGGCAAAGTAGAGACGAAGATCGTCAAACGTCTTCTTCAGGCCATGCTTCACCGACACCCAAGGACTTTGGCGATTGCCATTATCGAGGGGCATGGCATGTGGTGTACTTTTGGGACACTGCAGTGCAGGTACCTGATGATAGACCTACACGGATTAGTACGACTTATCTCAAGATGGAACACACAACAACTTGCCCCAGCGATGGTAAAGTACTCGATTACAACTGATGCGCAGTTCATCACCAAGTTCACAAGAATGGCTGTTTCCGTAGAAATTCCATCTACCATTCCTATAAAGAACGGTCCGAGAAGTTTACAAACAAGGTCAATCCGTCTCATCTGTGAGTTCATCGCTATCGAGAAGTTAGCAGGTTACCACCTCAAGTCTCGAGTGTTGTACTTCGGAGGGCAACAGTGTCAGAGCGAGCCACAACGATGACCTATTGACCGTGAGCTTTTTTCGCTTTCGTTGAATTTAGACTACATACCCAGTCTCTTTCGACTGACACAACGTTCATTATGGCAGCCAGCTTTTCAATACAGGCCATAAGAATTGAGACCGCAAGCAAACCAATTCTCACTTGATGTGGCATAGTATGAACTTTGATGAGAACAAGAAAGATGGCACACGATACGGCAACGACCAGTCTTTGAGACACTTCAAATGTTAATTACTTTGTCACATTAAACGTGAATTGCCTTACCAATTGATAGTCTCACCGTCTTGAGGCGGTCGTTGCGATCGATATAGTGCCCAACCCAAGATGATAGTGCAATGGCAGCAGCACCTCGAATCATTGAATACACCGCGAGAGGCATCAATGTTCCTGGAAAGATAGAGGCGAGATATAGAACACTTCCGAATTCAAAGACGCGCGAGTTCCATGTTGAGAGGGTGTGAGATACATAGAGTCTGCGAGCGCTTTGGGTGATGGTCCACTCAGAACTATGAGTGCTTGAACTGTCGTCATCGCCTTGATTGATACTCTCATATTGGTCTAGGGGTTGATACGGCGTTGTTATTACACCTGCTGGCGATGGCGATGATGATGGTAATACAGGAAGTAAATGTGCTCTTTCTTCGTCTCCTACATCGGTGGCCATGATATAATAGCGGCGGTGTGAAAATGATCCTGAATAACAAGAGATAATAGAGGACAATCACATTAAAAACCAAGAAAAGAGAAACATTTGGTAGTTTTAAATTAAAATGTTATAAACAGTACCGTAACATGGCGTGACTTTAGTTTAATAAATGCATCGAATGGTTGTTGTTAGGAGTATGTCAATGGCCAGCTACAGGCCTACTTTTCTTTATCGGACTCCGTAATTCCGACCAAGCTAAGCCAAACCCCCACAGTCGGGTCGCTTCCGATCAACTTCCAAACAAGGCAATCCTCAGAGGTAGACTTGACGGTAGATGAGATTGAAGTAAAGGTCATGGTAACAACAGCTCTCAAAAAGCTCTTAAGACGCCCAAACTCTCGGTATTTCTCTCATAAACTCATCTCCAAGTCAAACGAATTCAGTAACAAGGTCACGTATAATCTCAACGCTAGTCATGTTTCAATTTAGCTAAGTATATGCTGGTTGAGCCTCCTTACTTGACCTGCCTACCAGACTTCCAAAACTCATTTTCATGTGCAACATCTGCACAAATGTCCATAGAGAAGAGACGATATGAGAATTCTGTCCTCATTTAATGGCCTAATCCGTTGCTTCTCGGATTTTCCTTCCAAAACAATCACCACATTTCCAGTCTTCTCAAGAAGACGTTGCCTCTAGCCTGGTATGAGTTGGCCGGTGATTTAGACTTCATAGTCGAATTCTCCGTCCTCTGCCTTGATAGTTTCGTTGAGTTCCATCTTGATGGCTTTGGTAGAAGCCTCATCATCAATTTCGGCTTCTGTTTCTTGTCAGTAAAGTGCTTCAGGTGTCCAAAACCGCAAACATACTGGGAGCTCGGCGCTTGCGGGGGGTAGACTTCTTGGGACTTCCATAGTCATCGTCATCGTCATCGGACCCGACCATCTTGGGGGTCTTGGGCTTGGGACCGCGCTTGCGACCTATGAGTCTGTGTGTCAACTCTCTCTGTTAAGATCCCGAGAAATGAGATATCATACCAGGAGTCTTCTTTGCAGAAGGCGAAGGAGCATCGGCGGCCTGTTGCTTGAGAGCATCGATTTTCTTGTTGAAAGCGGTCCACTGATTCTGGAGGCTCTTCATGGTGCGGCCTTCCATGGTGATCTCGTTCCAGTTGATGGACTTGCCCTCGGGCTTCAGCTGAGCGATGATGCGTAGAAGAAGCTCATTCTATGTAGGTATCACAGTCAGCACTAGCCAATAAAGGGTGCCACAGATGAACGAGAGATGTAAGGACAACTTGCCTTGGCCTCATCAGTCCAGGCGTTGGTCTTGGGAGTTGAAATGTCCGACATCGTGATGTTGATAGTGTCAAAGGTTGTGAGGCACACTCTTGATTCGAGATGAGGAAGATAGAAAATATATGAAAGACAATGATGCTTCCAGATACTTCAGGCGCCTAAGGATAATTTTAGATGTGTTGAGTAAGGCTGAGTGACGATGAAGAAAGCAGTGTGAGTGAAAGGATGATTGAGGAGGGATGAGAGAGAGAGAAAGGATGAGAGAGAATAAGAATAAGTGAGGAGGGAGGAAATTACTAGGCAGCAAACATGGAAGATGTGTGAATCATGAATGATACCCCTCTCTCTAAGCACTGCGATGCTGAGGGTCTGGGTCAGTAACAGCCTCAACCCCGCGACGCATTCACGTTTAGCCACTTGCAAAAGTATCACGAGGTGCTGCAGTCGGTTAATTTTTAAACCTGTAATAGAGGCAAATAACATAGCAATCAAGATCATACATACAAGATTGTGAAGGGAGGGGACGTCACGCTTGGTGAATGAAATCACCCGTAGAGTGGATAGAAACTCAGGAAAAGTAGACGAGGAAAGTACGGTACTCACTTGTAAATGATTTCGGCGAATAGTGAGCACTTATAATGAAAGAAAGATATCAGATGGAAGTTTTGCTAAACACAAATGTGAAGTTGGCTGTCAAAGGTTGGTTTCTCGGCGCGTTCAGGGGTAAATCAGGATAACAGGATGCAACATGAAGGATGTGGGGGAAACGAAGAGGGGTCCTCGGGTGTAATATATCTTCTCTACATTGAATACAGCTTTCATTAACTACATGTCTGCAGTGAATCACACATGTTCGCAAAGCAAGTGAATAGCTCAAGCCGCCCCGGAGAAACGAAGCTACTATGCACGGATTAGCATTCCCTAGTCACCCCAGCACACGTAGTGAGATATCGCTCGTCTATTTCTATGTACTATTAGCTCTTGCCATCATACACTCGTCTTGGACTTCCAACTCCAAAGACCGTATCCTTCCCAGCTGATGCCAGCGAAGCCCCAGTTTTGGTCATAGTGACAACGCCCACGATGCGAATCGCCAAATTGCAACTTCCTAAAAACAGAATCGGTATCAAACGCAATTGCTCGCTCCATGCATTGTACGACTGCGTGGCGCCTATAACTGTCCAAATCCTAAACCGCTTTTCTTCGTAATCTTGTGGAATCCCGGCAGAAATATCATAAACCGCTCTGTACCACACTATGCATGTTATCGCTGACAGTCAACAGCAAGTCTTTCTAGTAACCCATGTCGAGTCAGACTCCAGTCGAATCCCATCCCATTTCTTTGTACTCCACGACCCAAAATTGGTGATTACTTCATCTTCATCCGAAACGCCATGAACTCTCGGAACCGCCGTTCATGTTCTTCGCATGCGGCGGTCCAGCGTCGGCGGACATCCATATCCTGTTCGAGCCAGTTGTAGTACTCCTGAATGTCGTCATCGCCCCGGTTCTCCAAGAATGCATACCCCTTCTCTGCTCTTGTACGAGAAATGTGAGATTTTCGTGTAGCAAAATGATCCACAACTTGAGCGTTGAACACATCCCACTGCTTCATGTAATCTTCAAATTCCTTGACATATGTCTCCCAGGATTGCGCACTTGGTTGTATTCCACTGGCCATTATAGCAGCCGGGATTTGAGGAGCAGTAGGCGCATTTGGAAAGATCAATGGATGGACCGCTGGTAGCTTGATCGGGATTTGTGGCGCAGCCTTGCTTTCGAAAGGTAGATTGTCCTTCAAATCGGAGAAAGACTTGAGACCTGAACTCTGCTGAGTGAATGGGGCCACGTTTCTCAGATCGGCAAAACTGGCGATGAACTCCTCGCTATCCTCTGATCCTACATTGTTCGGGTTAACCGGCTTCCTTGGACTTTCTACTCGACCCTCGACACCGCTGGCGTTTTCTGCGTTGGCCTCCCGCCATTCTGGTCTGGACGGCTCGACATAGATGTCTCTGGCAGTATGAGGAGCTGTTGTTCCGGGAGCCTGGTTCATTTCAGTAGGTTGAACAGGCTGAGGCGAAGGCGTAGTCTGGGGTGGTTGGGGAGACGGAATTTTGGGAGGGCGAGGTGGTGGGATCGAGTTCGACACAGGAGGAGTATCTATATCCATCGCCTGAGGACTCTCAGCTGCAGGTGGCTCGTCTTGCACCTTGCGACCGCGCCATTCAAGAACTTCATCTTCACTACTGCTGTCGTCCACAACATTCGTATAGTTGGGCTTTCTGGAAGCCTTGGGCTTTCTCGAATTTGTGCGAGATAATCGGGTAGGTGAGACGGATTTGGCTGGCTGGGGAACAAAAGTATGGGGCCCAAATTCCCAACTGTCAGGGTTGAAAGCTGATTCGGGTTTAGTAGAATCAGGTCGTTCAGAGTCAGAAACGAAACTGGGGGTACTCTTGCCGCTCGTCGTAGGACGTTTCCCAGGCGATCGACGGCCCTTTCTGTGCTTCGCTGGACTTCCCTGTTCAGCTCCACCAGCACTGAATTCCCATTCTGCTGCATCCTCCTCTTCCACAAAGCTAGTATCGATATCGTCAGTGTTTCGTCTCGAGAATGGAGGCTGGTCTGGTGAAGTTCGTCGAAAGGTATCGTCGTTGACAGGGAAACTGAAACTGTTTGGGTTGGTATTGTTAGCGCTATTCGACTTGCTGGGAGTGTTTGTGCTGCTGGGTTGACGTTTTGCTTTCTTAAGGGGGCTTCCAGGCCCGGCATTATTGATATTGATAAGCCCAGTCAGTAACGCCCCCTGTAGGCGCTCAAAATCAGTCAATGGATGTGAATTAAGTCTGCCACTAGGCGACTGATGGTCAGGCTTCGCTGGAGTTTCGTATAGACCGCGGTAGAACCCAGATCCATAATACCCCTGACACTTGTTGAAGCTTTTCGACGTGGGGAGATGGTGAGTTTTGGAAGTTGAGTTGTCATACATTGAAGGTCCGCCAGGCGACTCAGCTGCTACCGACATGTTAGTAACTTGGTTCTTCTCCGGAGACCTTCGGGTACAACTTACATTTTTCGGTAGCAGGAACCTCGGTAGCTTGTTGGTTAGGCCCCAGGGGCACGCTCTTAAAGCCACTGCGAGTCTTCTTCATTTGGGCTTTGGGACGGTCGGCGGGATCACGAGGTAACGAAGGCTCTTCAGCTTTGCCTACTTTTGGAGCACTACTGCTACGTTGGCGGTTGAAAGCTTCCTTTTCCGGTGAATCCTGGTCTTCGCGGTTGGTTTCACGAGTACTCTTAGCTCGATTTATTTGGATGCCATCGAAAGGGTTAGTCTTTTCACCGCCGTGCGAGGTATACGGGCTGCTTTGTCGAGGGTCTGCCCAGCTGTCTCGATCTCTGAACTGACTCAGGGGGTCGGGCATTGGGGTCGGTGCAGGCCTTTGGGGAGTAGGAGGAGGAACTGGTTTCGGGTCTTCTTGAGCATAAGGTTGCGCATATCTCTCCGATGCCGGTCGCGAGCTATAGTTGCTGTTAGATACAGGAGGCTCGTCGCCCATCGCTGTACGAGGATGGAATCCCGTCTTTCTTGCGCCGAATGAGGCCTCTGCACGTTGCCTTGCAGATTCCGTCCGAGGCGGGGGAGGTGGTGGGGGAGGACGTGTTTGCTCATTTGACTTTCCCGATGTTCCCTTTCGCATGTTCTCAAATGCTCGCGCCGCATTCTTCTTAGACTCGGCGTCTGATGCTGTGTACTGCTTTGCCGTTGGAGGAACTCCTGACGAGAAGCGAGTCTGCCATCTTTGTGCGCCCGAAGGCGTAGTTCGAGCGCTTGTGTTGGCGTTGTTGCGTCGCGGGGGAGGCGGGTACTGCGCGCTCACGTTCGACCATGGGTTACCCTTAACACCCGAAGCGCCTGGGTATCGACCACGAGCCCGGGAAGCATCATGTTTAGCCTTCTGTTCGGGGTCGGAAAGAATTTCGTGTGCCGTTTGGATAATCTGGAACTGGGTATTGACTTCTTGCTCTCGTCCAGGATTGCGGTCCGGATGATACTTGAGAGCTGTGGTCCAGGTTAGCATTCATTCAGGTTGAAGAATTCCATCCGCAAATACCAAGCTTTCGATATTGTTTCCGAATCTCCGTTAGGTCAGCTGTCGGTTGCAGCTCCAAGTCTGCATAGTAGTCTCGGGGTGTACCCATCGCAATGGAAGGACCCCAGCAGACTGGTGATCAAAAGCGATAGTGGCTAATTTGTACTTGTAGCTCGAATTTCTTTGGCGTAAAGACGAAATATGTATTATCAAAAGCTGCAGAATCCGGTAGGAATCATGTAGATTGCCGTCAAATGTATACAATGGTGTCTACGGTCTTCGGATTCGTGTGACGACCGTCTGGCAGTTCTGTTAGACGTTGTACTGCAGTTTCAGCGATTGTTATCGGTGTATAGGGTCGTCGAGCTGCACTTGCGTGGTCTCAAGTTAGCGATAATCATACATAAATTGTAGGAAGCAAAGACATCTAGCTATTGTCAAGATGTCGACAGGATACTCTCGTGTGTAGAAAGCAAGATGACCTTTGATGTGCCCGCGCAAGATTGCAAGGATAGGCTCAGAGTCCGGGGATAATCATAGGTAGCTGTGCCTCTGGACATGCGCAACAAAAGATCGATATTGATTGGCGGCACTGACTGGCATGAAGCTGATTCAAGGAAAAGACAAACTCACCAAGATGACGTCAAATTCCGAAGGTAAGGCTGTTGATCGAAAATCGGATCAAAATGCGCAGAGACAAGATGAAGGCTGGACTAATGAGGGGACAAAGAGATCGTTAGCTGACGGTTACACAAGAAAAGATGCAACGAGAGGTAAATAAAAGTAGAAACGACTGGGAAGTTTGAGAGACGAAGCTGGCGCGCCGGTGATGATCAGAAATGAACTGTACCTTTTTAGATTTAGGGGCCCTCACCTTCTTGGATAAGTGAAGTTGAAGGTGGGTGGTACTTGAGAGTACCATGAACCCAGTAGCACCACGAGGCCGCGTTGAATAAATGTGGCTCAGCTCCAAGTTTCGCTCTTTGCTCAATCTTTGGACCCTAAATTGCAGTGCAGTAGATGATTCGCAACACCACTTGTGTAGCAAAAATATAAAGGGGCAGACTGGGAGATGTAGATAGTTTTTAATTTTGATTTTGGAACCTGTCAACACAGAATGCTGTCAGGATACCAGCAGCAAGACTTTAAGTACAGGCCATTCAGGTAAATGTACTGATAGACAGGGTCTAGTTGTATGTGGAAGAAAACAAACATGCGGCGGGGTTTCTTTTGCACCAGCAACCAAGATTGAGGACCCCAGACCCCACCTCGGCACTGTCAATCACCAGGAGCCGTTATTGTTGTTAACTCCAACAATGGGCGCTAAAAAGAACGTAAATTGGCAATTACAGAGATGGCTTTCTGGTTGTAAACTAATTCTCAGCCGTTCAATAAATGGATTTTCCAAGCAAACAACGCAAATTCTTCTAACCAGTGCACTTTGACAGCTAAAGAAGAGAGACTCCTAACTGGCCATGTGGTTGGCAGCACTGTCACAGAAGCCACGCCAGCACTGCCACATGTTTTCCTCAATCTTGACATCATCCTAATGCTCGGAAGAATAGAGCCATGACAGAAGTATCACCAGAGTCAGTAGACGGCTGACTTGTCAAGATTACACAGCGTCTTTTCAATGCCACTTTGGACATTTAATTGGGATGAACACATATCAGTAAGGTGCTTGACGAACTACATCAGCATATAAGTAGTACCAGACGCCACGTTTGGCTTACACACGAGCTAGCAGATCGATGTAGATCTGATGACTTGTGTTTCGTTCAATTAATTGCAACCAGTCAAAGTTGACATGTAAGCGTGTCGCATCAGAGACAAAAATGGGAAGCATTCTCCAGTACAGGATCAAGTACTGGATCGCGAGAAACATGCATGAGTAACCCTACTACAATAGAATACACCTAATCCTATCAACTTCCCTAGGCCGCCTTTTCGGCCGCGAGCTTGGCCTCCATCTTCCTTCGTGCAGCAAGAATCATCTCGTCCCTTCTGCGCTGCAACGAAGCCTGGCGCTCATCCTTGTTCGAGCTCCAACCCTTTCCTTTTGTATCCTGGTCCTCCTGCGATACGATATCCAGCTTGCTCTTGAGGTTGTATCGCGTGATGAGATCCGGCTGAGCTGGCTTCTCAGGTTGTCGAGGCGCCGTAGCTGCGCTGCCGCTTGTTGCGGCCTGGCCGGGAGGTGGTGGGGGCTGGAAGGTAACCGGGGGCTAAACATTTGGTAATACCGTCAGTGAAGGGTCTTTTTCTATACATGAAAGCTAAGGGATATTCGGCATACCGTATCCAGTCGGCCTGAGAGTATGCGCTCTGTCGTAGTTTGGATGTTTCCACCATTGCGCTGCAGATCCCACAGAATGCTTCGCCTGTCCGCCTGCGGAAACATCTGCTGTATTCTCTCAACTGCAATTTCTCTCGATCGGAGGAATGCCTCGGGGGATCGCGCAGGCCGAGGCGGCGAGGGTGCTGCAAAGAACATGTATCTTATCACCAGGCCGGAGATGGCCAGGATGGCCAGTAGATATGGCAGCGAGATTTGGTCGTCCGACATGATGGTATCGCGTACGAGATAAGGGAAAACTATCCGCTGCAGATTGTGACTAGAAAATCAGTCGAGGGAGGCGATCGCCTAAGGATCGAGCCAAAATGACGATGGATAGGTAGGTAAGTATTATGTTTAGTTGTATGTTGAAGAGCTAGGTCAGATAGAGAGCTCAGATCGTGGGCCGGGTGCACGTAATGAGCGTTACTTACGCCAATACCCACCACTTGATGGGGCAAGGCGATTCTAGCTCTTCCGATTGCAACCTTGGAAATCACATGTGGGAAATCCTCGGCTAATCCCTCCGACGACAACTTCAACTTGAACAAAAACAGCCAGGGTTACGAAGTTAATTCTTTATGAATCGAGCTCGACTGTTTCCTACAAGAATCAAGTCAAGCACAAATTGTATCACGACAGACAGAAATATCTTGCACAGAACTGAAAAGCATCGTTCATTGACACGACAGTCCTATAACCAGGCGATAAGCCATCCCTCAGTAATGGAAGAGCGTTCATTCATAACCAGGTCCGATCCCATCCCCACGAGAAACAGAAGCCGTTGCCCTGTCTTGATGCCATAACGCCCATCCGTACGCTTCATACGTATCAATCACCATGCCCCCTCACCTAAGAAAATTGTCTCCAGGCAGGGCAACACACCCCTTCATGGTCCGACTTGCGCCTGGTTCAATGTTGTATCTAGGTCGCCATAGTGCAGTGTGAACTCCTTCTGTTCGTTTGTTAGTCTCTGTGAGTGAACAAATCTAGCGAGCCAACTTACGCGATCTTTTCGCCAATTGTTTGGGTCCCAGACTATGTAGAAACCTCGCTCGTGGTTGGGGCTCAGTATTTGAGGAGTCATATGCTCATCTTTGGTCAGCCAGATTTCCATTTTTCTGTGCCATCTCCAGTTTCTCGAATGTCTAGCACAAGTCAGTAAATAATACAAAAGGCTGAATATGGTACTGTCTTACAGCTCGACCGCGGCCATTTGCTGCTTTACATCCGCTGTACAACTGTAAAAGATCCAAAATAGAGTCTCCTCGTTGAAGCTAGCAATTTTGCTCTCGATTGGCTGCACATTTGTCACATTGTAACAGTCCGGCAATCGAAATTTGCCATTAGCAAGTGGTACCCGGGGAGGTGAGTCGTCAAAAAGCGAGTAGTTTTGTGTAGAAAACAACCTGTAACCATTTTAGTTGAAGTTTACAGCCTCAAGTCAGCACACTTACTCTGGAGAACTTATGTCAAGTCCCAACGAAGAAGGGTCCATGCCGACAACCATGGCGTGGTAGTCGGGGTAGTTATGCATTAACGTCTGCAGACCCTTAATCCCCCACTTGTCCACTGCAGGCATACCAGCCAGGGGGTCAATGATCTCAGAGCCATGGGGTTCTTGATCGTCTTTCGCCTTCAGAGATGCAGGATTGTTGTTGAATACTGCGGCAGGAGAAGTAGCATCGGTAGGACCGTCCTCTCTAGCCGACTTTTGCCGAGGGTCTTCTTCCAAACCAGGGGGTTTACCATCTTGTGGTCTTGACGAGCCTGGACGAGTTAGTATTTTCGTATTTCGAGGCAACATAGCGATGAACGTACCAGGAGCTCCAATACCAGGCGGTGATCTCACTTCATTGGCCAGACTGTTAGCCGACAATGCATTCAAAAGACCATTCCCTCTATTGCTTGTTGAAGGCCCAGGGCCGGCTTGAGATCCAAAACCTAGAGAAGACATCAAGTTCGCCGTCCTATCTGATCCCAGCTCGCCATTCGAGGTTTGGTTGAGTGGTGGGAAGTCGTCAACGCTGCTGGGTTGAGGTTGTTGTCCAATGTTGCCTTGGTTACCGAACCTGAATCCGCCTGGCACTCTTGATGAGGTGGGACTGAACATGTCATCCTGGCCGCCTTGCTGGGGAGTAGCTTGGTTTCGTTGGATGGGCCCGCCCAAGTTTCGCGATCCAGCAGTCGACCACATAGATGACTGGTTGACGTTGGACATTTGGGCGTTGTTCGATAATGATGGGAATTCGCTAGGCAGCGTCAGCAAGCGCGTCTTACCAAGGGCTCGGCATTTGAAACAATCCAATTCCCGAAGGAGTGTCTTGGCTCCTCCGTCATGAACCGCAGTCAGATATACGTACGACAAGTCAAGAGATGTTGACGGTTGGGAACCTGTCAAGCTTTGCGCAAAGCTCACATTTCCGCCGAGTTGACGTCCCGCATTCTGGGGTCCTGCTCCTGCCATTGGAACCCCTCCGAAAGCCCAACCAGAATTGTTGTTTCCTATATTTGTTCGCCAATATTAGCCTAAGCCTGTCGTTGATGCAACCCAGCCAACACAGCACAGCGCATAAATCGCAATCATCTCGGTACAGCGTACCTAGTTTTCCGTTCGGTAATCGATTCGTCCCTGCTCGTCCTGGCTGTTGAGGTTGTTGTTGACCTCCAAATCCACCAGGCATCCCGCGGAGTGTCTGTGGCACTGCCCCTGCGATTCGATGACATGGTCAGCGTTTATTCTGCCAATTCTTGCCTAACTGTTCTGCTTTTGTTATGGCAACATCTTCAATATCCCCCGATCTGATCCTGGTCCGCATTCGGGTCTATTGAGGCAACCCTGACGGCACATGGACAGAGTCATTGAGGTCGGCGGAGGGGTTGAAGGTCGTCAAGGGAGTCGTGGAGCTCGTGAATGCGTATGCTGGCGCACATGTTTCTCTCGGTGCAGTGATATCTCGGAAGCATGGAGGGTGACAAAGATTGGGAGATTTCGCTTGCAGCGCGGGGTCTGAAGGCTGCTGGAAGAATAAGGTCGTGGGGGTGCGTCCTACCTGGCCTATTCATAGTAGAGGTTTGTCGCGAGCGACTAAGCTAAGGTGAAGCGCGGTACGATGTTGCAAAATGGATATTTCGTAGCAAAGTTATTCGGTCGGTGCGACGTCGATGCCTTTTTGTGCCGAGGGAGACAAAAAAGTAAGGATGTTTGTCGATGCGATCGGTTGCTTTCAGGGCTGAGCCTGGCCTTGTTCTGTTGCTGTGTTGGAGAAGGCTGGCCGGTACTTTGGCAAGGTGGATGGATGATGATCCGTGAGCGGGAATAAGTGGGTACACCCCGACATCATGGCAAACACCAATAATGTCTAAAATGCATCATGCACAAACAACGGATAATCGTGAACAAACACTAGAGATTGTGTGAATTATAAAGGACTCAGCATATAATCTACTCCTTGAATCGATGTTTGTTTTATGCCCCCATCACAAAATGATCACTCTATGCCACAAACAAAGGTACAGATGTGACATCAGCTTCAACATTCGCTCTAAAGATGGGCTGGTTCTTCAATAGCCTCCGTAGTATATTTGTGTATTCAACACATCATTTGATGGCTTGTTTGAAACTGTCTTCAAATCCAACGCCTCCAACATTTCTTCCAATCAGAATGATCTTGCCCTCCTTTGGTGTCTCGTCTCCCGATGGCCCGTCATTTATCTCAAAAACTTCCCTCACCCCCTGCAGCATCTTGACCTCGCCATTGGCAAACACAAGACGTCCCTTTGAGCGGTGAATTTCGAAATCGCCCTCCCCTTCCGCTTCGGGCAGTTTGCTGTCCCACAGGACTGATCGTAGCCAGCGGTCAACAGTGTCCAGTTGTTCCGGTTCAAGGCGACCGACAGGAATAGTGACGGTCGAAATGGTCTAGACGGTTAGCGGCCTGCTTTCTTGCATATTATGACTCCTCGGCCGGAAACTTACAGGATCAAGATGACTGTGTCCCTTGGCACTAGCATCTGATTCATTGAACTGGTCATATGCATGCAAATCGAGCAGGAATCCCTCTAGCTGGGGGACTACACTCCTCTCAGTCACATGGATCTTGGCTAAGCCATTGATTGATTGGATTCTCTCCTTGACCTGGTTGAGTTCCGTTTCGGACACCATATCGGCCTTGTTGATCACAATCACGTCCGCATGAGAAATTTGGACGTGAGCGGTTGTCATGACAGGGCCATGGCCATCGTGATCGTGCCCCTCGACAATACCGTTTGGGTCATCTAGACTGCGCAAGATGTTCTTTGCATCAACCAGGGTGACGATTCCGTCGAGGTAAATGGTACTTCCGAGTCCATCATCTACCCAGAAGAGCGGTGCCAGGTTACCAGGATCAGCTAGTCCAGTGGTTTCGAGAAGGATGTAATCAAAAGCTCCCTTCTTTGACATCAAAGATTCTATAGCATTGACTCCAGTATCCCTGACATAAATTAGCACGGTAGAAACTTTGGTTTGTGCACGACGTACTTGACAGAGCAGCAGATGCAGCCGTTACCGACTTCCAACCACTCCTCTACTTGCTCATCACCCTTGTTCACAGTAAGGGACTTCTCGATATCGAGCGCTACAATACCACTTAGAAAAGCAAACTTAATCTTCTTCGAGAAACTTACAGTCGCCAAATTCTGTCTCAAGTTAGTAATTATTTATCGAAGAGTCATGAATTTTCCCAACCATTCATGATGACGGCGATCTTTTTGCCATGCTGGGCTGTGAGGATGTAATTCAGCAATGTTGTTTTACCAGCACCAAGATAACCTGTCATTTGTTAGACCTGTATTTTCAAATAGGTCGGCGGGAATACCTGTCACAATGGTGATAGGGACTTTGACTGTGATCTCTTCATCCACGTCGTTTGCGGTTATATCGACCAACTCTGGTGGGGCATCGTCATCAAAATCCATTGCTGCAGGATGACGGACTGGCCGTTAAATTTATTCTGAGTTTGAAGTAACGTTGAGAGGTATTTACCGTCCACAGTATAACGTTGGTTTCTCGGAGTTGCAAGGAAATGCTCTATACAGCTTCACGTTTGTACTACGCAGGTACTAGATACCCACCTTCTCTTCTTAAATCATGTTCTTGTAGAAGTGATGGAGCACTTAGATGCGTGTAAGTTGCACGGCCCCCCTTTAGCTGCATTTGGCTTCTCCCCGTGCTGTTATGCATGTATCGAATCCCCACTATAGACTCCCCCAGCTTAGCCCTGTCCAGCCACTTGTCAACCCAGCGCAGCCTCGCGTGGAATTAGGCGCCCAGCTTTCGCCAGAAACATATCTTCACTTTCAACATTGCGATTTTCCATACGAAGCTGATATCTTACCTATAATGTCGCTAGCACCGAGCTCACCAAGGCTGCCAAGCCCTCCGCCCGCGGCCGAGATTCAGATGGCGCCCATGTCTCCGTCCGGTGGCCCAGCAGCCAGTCTTCAGACAACACCTCAAGAGCAGACACAGCTTGAAGCTAGCTCCAAGCGGCGGATACATCCAGGAACGAAAGCGGCAGATATGGCAGCCGGCCCTCCCTTGATACCCCTACATGAGGTACTTGTGCGATTATTAACATATGATGAGCTACAAGCTAACATGACCCAGCTCGACTCTGCCTTTCAACTTCAAGAACATTTGGCTGCCCTCCATTGCTACCATACCGCCTCCAACACTCGACCGATTACTCGTGAAACCGCATTGCAGCTTGCAACCCCTCCCAGCGGTGTCGACCGAACCATCTGGCTCTATGAGCTCTGCCGCTTCCTCATCTCAAAGTGCAATTCATTGATCGTTGGCTTCCTCTTCGACACCCCACCATGCAGTGCGAACACGTGCCCCGAGATGCGCGCTTCCGAATGGCAGTTCCTTTGTGCTGTGCATGAGCAACCCAAGAGTTGCTGCGCCATCGACTACTGTTGTCATACTCTGGACTGGGCTGCCAACGTTGTAACCGACCAGAAGATCTTCCCCAGCCGGTTTGTTGTTCACAACGACAACCATAGTAAAAACGTTGGTGTAAAGAATCTCGTCAATGTGTTCCGCCGGCTGCATCGCATATTTGCGCACGCCTGGTTCCAGCATCGGGGTGTTTTCTGGTCTGTCGAGGGGGAAACAGGGCTTTACGTCTTTTTCAAGATGGTATGCGATTTGTACGACCTGCTGCCGGCTGAGAACTACAAGTTGCCCCCTGAAGCAGAAGGACTCGAGGCACCTCATGTCGAACAGGAGGCTGCGCAGCCCCCACCCACTATCCTCAAGCCCTCATCTCAACAACGAGGTCCTCCTGCCGAGGAAGATAATATGCATCCCACAAGAACAAACACTCGCCGACACATTCGAAGCAGCCCTTCAACAGGGAGTGCCGTAACAACTGTAATTGAAGCAGAAGAGGAGGACGCAGATGGGGTTTCGAGGAAGCTCAAAAACATGCACCTCACCGCACCTTCCCCAGTGGAAGAAGAGCCAGAGGTCGCCGAGGTCCCTGTTATTGTTGAACAATCAGTTATGCGCGAGACCGAGTCCAAAGCCCATGACCCTCATTCTGAAGAAGCCGAAGAGGACGAAATCGAGGACGAAGGCGACGAAGATGCTGACCAAACAATTGTCGGGGATGCATCCGAAACAGATCCTACCGACGATGAAGACACTCAAAATAATGAATCCGAGCCAACACCTGACCCAGTTGAGCCCAAGGAAACCAAAGAAAAAAGCGACCCACAGGAAGAGTCGCCCGAAGAAATCTCCACAGATTCACCAGAATCTACTGAAGATTCGACCGCAAATACCGCTGACGCCACGCCCGATACCGAGAACAAACCCTCCGAAGACGAAGCGGAAGCCACAGACACGAAGCCTACAAGCGAAAATAAAAAGGATGAGAAATGATGTATGAGAAGATGAGAAGTCATGTTCGTTCAGCTCAACTCTCCTATCGGGACATGGCAGTTTTGTAGTATATAATGTATCTATCTAATAATACACCTGGGTGCCAAACTCAGATTTGCACATCAAGTTATGACAGCTCTAGGCCAACACTTGCAATTTCAAGTGTGATATTTTATCTTCCCAAAAAGATCCCGCTTACATTGTCCAAAGACATGTTTTCTCCTTCCCCCCTTTTTTTGTTTCTTGATCCAATCATCTGTATGAGTTTCCCGTAGATCATTTCTTGATCAAAATCTACCTCATGTATTACCTTTGTATCCATCGTCTTCCTGTCTAAGCTTGTTTTTCGTTGCCCAGAAGAATGCTGTTGCCATCCACAAACCTGTGTGATAAATATTGCATATTCTTCAAATTCCACCTTGACTACACAAAATCCAGGCGCTTATTCGCTGCGTTGCATTGTATTTCTCGACAAAGCCTTCATCCACTTCTTGCGGCTGGGCCTGCTCCTGCTTGGGAACTAGATTCTGGGCCAGAACTCGACGGCGCATTGGCATCGTCCATCAACGTCATCTTCGCAAAGATATGCCGCACCTCGCGAAGACTCTCCTGCTGTGCTGTGACAGCTGCCGCATTACGCTCGTCGGCAAAGTTTCTAATTTCTCGTAATACTGGACTAAATCCCTCGCCGTTTGGGAGCCACCATTGTACGCAAGAAGGTTCTCGGAACATCTCGGCCATTTTGGTACGCAAGGGTAAAGGGTGAATATATCTATGTCAGAATTAGCATTCCCTTCTCCAACCGTTTCTACCAAGAACCCATAAAGTGGACATGCTCTTACCCCATTGTTTCTAGTAAAGCAAACTTCCGACGAAACCACATATGGTGCCGTGCATCCTGGGGGCAGAAAAGAGCTGCGATAGCGATGCAAGCTTGAATCAAAACTAGGACGCCTCTGGGGGTGGAAGGCCAGAATTCCAGTGTTTCGAAATATTGACAGGTTCTGTAGGCATGGCGATTTAGATCCGCGAATAGTTGATCTGGCATCGTCCCCGAGGATTGACATTTATGCATTATCATGATGCTATTCCACTCCGCACATAGAACCGTAACATCAAACAGCGGACGTTCATAGAGTATTCCGACCGTGTAGGGGTTCACAAAATCCTCCGGGTCGAGTGTTTCGGGAGAGGGGAAATCTCGAACAAGGTATTTCGGGTCCTGAAGAGCAGGGTCCCTTTTCTCTTTCCAGTCTATTAGTCGTTGGTTGATCAGGTTGTGTTCTTTGACAAAGTCTTCGGGAGATATCTGGCCTCTGCTGCCTCGCGCGAATAAGATGGACATGTCGTAGGAGATAAGACGGAGCTGAGCGGACCATTCATCGATTCTCCAGTGTATTTCGTCTGGGTTGGCAATGACTCCTTCCTTGTAGAAATCCAGCATAGCCTGAAACCATTCTCGTGGTAGGTCGGTAGGGAAGCCTCCCATCAAGGCAACAAAATTGTCGAACCGAGCGTACCAGCTAAGGCACATACGTCCCACAGGAGTTCGCATTATAGTTTGTGGTGTGAAAATGCTCGTTAATATTCCAAAAGCAGCTTTCTGATGTCCCATGAGATTGACCCAATCGCCAAAGTACTCCTACCCAGTATAATTAGCGAATAGCGAAGTGTAGGGATTAATAGGAACATACTTCAATAGTAGCTAGCTGTAGGATCGTCAAGAGAGTGGCAATGTTGGGCTTCTCCTTTCGTTGTAGTAGACCGAGCAACTGCGTTACGCTTTTGTTGTAGTATTGTAAAAAATCTTGGAGCTTCCCCTGTGGATTTTGAAGCGTTGAGTGATATGCTGAGAAACCCACCACCGCGTTCAGTAACGGTTCGTGACGGGTAGCCATGTTGGGTAATAGTTTTGTGAAAAACTGGTCCGAGTCAAGTGGTATACAATAGTTAAAGTGATTGAGATTTTCCACGAAGAAAGAGAGGCCCTGCTGATACTGTGGTGGAAGGTATGACCAGTCGGTTTCTCCGAGGTTGGTAGGGAAGTCGGAAGAGGGATACGCAGTTGCCAGACTACTTGGAGTAGCTGTTGCGGTAGAAGGGGAAGCACTCTTCGATTGTATAGAAAACTCTGGAGACCTTGTGTGGCCTTCTGTCTCCTCATCTTCGTCCACAATCGTCTCGAGCTTTTTGTCTTGTTCGGCATCCTCATCATCTTCTGACTTTGATGAAGAAGGGCTGGTTTGTTGAGCAGATGCAGTCAGATCTTTTGTTTTTCCACTCGGCCCCGCTGAACCTTTTGAAGATGGAGGATCGGGGTAAACACATTCTCGATTTCCCTTTTTGCAACCTGGGTAGCGTCAGCATATTAGTTCCATACAATCAACAAGTAGTTCAGTTCTGCACCCACGTTCGCAAATTGGCCTGCTTTCGTCACACTAAGTGGATTAGACACGGTTTAAAGCACATGACAGAAACTCATTATCGGACACATACCTTGACTCTTCGGCTTCGGCACATGAAGCAGCCAGAACGAGTCCGCCGGTGTTTGACTTGATCAACTGCCGCGGGTGTGCCGGCTGCCGATTTTCGACGGGACTTCTGTGATTTACCTGGGTTAAACATCATCGGATCAGGAAATCCAGTAAAGTACCCAAGCTGCTGGTATGGCCCGGGTATTGTGGCGGGCATCATGTGCATCGGTGTACCATGCATTCGCGGGTCGAGCATCTCTTCAGGGGATGTCGTCGGATTCACCCCTGCCCCAGACATCGACGATAGGAAGTGATGATAATAGTCTCCCATTGTGGAATGTCAGCCGGTGAAGCTGGAGTCACTCGAGGCTTCAAGATAGCTGGAGTTGAGAGTGTTTCAATAAGTCGTGGCTTGCATGCTTTCAAAACAAATGATTACTGAATGACAAGGGTCCACAAGACTCGAGAGGCGCAAACCGTACAGAACGAGTCCTTCTCCGATTTCCTGAAAGTCGTTCCGACAACGCAATAAGTATTGATGTTCGACAATCAAT